GAACGAGCTAAGGAGATGGGGGTCGACATCTGCATCGGATTCGCAGAGGCAACAGATGACGGCGACCACTACAACTCCTGCGTCTATTATCACGCCAAGTCCGGATCTATTCTGTCAAAGTATCGAAAGGTGCATTTACCCGGAGACGTTGACCCTTTCCCGGAGCCCGATGCCGTCAACCAACTCGAGAAGCGATACTTTAAGCCGGGTAATTTGGGTTTTGACGCCTTCCGAGTACCCGACCTGGTGGAGACCACACCTGAACACGGCGAGCCCATCCTCGGCATGATGATATGCAACGATCGACGTTGGGCAGAAGCTTGGAGATGCTTGGGTCTTCAAGGCGTCGAAGTTGTTCTCGTCGGCTTCAACACGCCTGGATTCGCTCCTCAGATGTGGGGTGCGTCCCCCGATGTGAGTCCAGCGGAGGCACGTGCTGAGGCCATCTTCCATCACAAGCTAGTCATGCAGGCCCACTCATACACCAATGCATGCTTCTCCGTCAGCGCAGCGAGATGCGGGTTGGATGACGGGAAGTACGATCTGGTAGGAGGTTCGACTATCATTGGGCCTGATGGAAAGATTATGGTTGAGAGCAAGACGGAGGAGGATGAGATCATCGTCGCCGATTGCGACCTTGATCGATGTCTACCAGGTAAGACGCGGACGTTTGACTTTGCGAGACATCGGCGGACGGAGCATTATGGTATTCTGACTTCGCAAACGGGAGTGGTGGAACCGCCGCGACTAGCACAATCGGAAAACGCGCATCATGAACCCAAGGCTACAGCGAGCGATGGTAAGCGTAAGCCGCTGGCCTCCGTCACAGGCACCAGATCTCCAAAGCACATTCGCATTCTCCTCTGCAACCCCAACACTACCAAATCAATGACAAACGCCTGTCTAGAAACACTCAAACCAACACTCCCACCCGAAGTCACCGTTTACGGCTTTACAGCCCCTAAACCAGCGCCATCAGCTATCGAATCGAACTTCGACAACATCATGTCCGCAGCCGCCGCCGCCCGAGCTATCATACCCGTTGCACATCAGTACGACGCATTCCTCATAGCTTGCTACAGCGATCACGCACTCATAAAGGTCCTTCGTGAAGAGCTCTCGCAGCCGGTAGTTGGGATTATGGAGGCCTCACTGTTCGCTGCACGAACGCTGGGTGGTCGGTTTGGCATCATCGCAACAACGCGACGATCGCAGTATACGCTGGAGGACTCTGTGAAACACTACGGTCTAGAGTCGTTCTGTGCTGGTGTGAGAAGTTGTGATCTTGGGGTCTTGGAACTTGAATCGAAGCCTGAAGAGGAAGTGCTTGGCGTCATGTGCGACGTAGGCAAGAGGTTGGTTGCAGATGGTGCTGATGTGTTGACGCTTGGGTGTGCTGGCATGACGAACATGAAAGCTGCTGTTGAAGAGGCGGTTGGAGGTCATGTGCAAGTGATCGATGGTGTGCTGGCCGGTGTACATCATCTGGTTGGTCTTGTTAGACTTGGGATGCAAACGGCTAAGAGGGGTATGTACGCGAGCGCGGAGATAGACAGGGCGAAGAGGCCAACATTGGTATTGAATGCGTTTGATACATGAACGCCTGCATGACATCCTCCCTAGGGTCGGTGTAGCATGAACACTACGTATATATGCTCGCTCAAGTCCAGCGCAACCTCGTAGTTATGCCAACATCATCTCTCACGTATTCAACCAGCGTTCAACATCGACATGGCCGGGGAACAACCTTCCGAACAACCTACGGTTAAGCCCCTGGCATCAGAATCTGACAACATAGAACGCTTCGCCGAACACGTCAACGAGCGGAAGAGAAGGCGTAACCTATGGGGTCAGTACGTGGACGAGCAGTCACGCAAGAAGTCTGACGGAGAGAAGCCTGTTCATACACCAGATCCTTCTCAGTCTACCAACTCGAAGGCAACGCAGACTGATGATACGCCGTATGTCACAAAGCCGGACGTTGATAGCGCCACGGGAGTTGGTGACAAGGACGTCAAAGGAGAGAGCGTGAAGCTGGCAAACGAGGGTGGAGATGAAGATGGGTTCGTTAAGACGTCTTGCGTTGGTGGTGTACCGGAGGAGCAGGATAACATGGATTTGTATGAGCCGTAATGCGACAACGACGAAACTGTTAGTCGTGGACAGTCAACAGCTCATTGCAATGCAATCACATCGCCTGTCGTGGTCTACATAGCCGTTTGTACTCGCCCGTCACACTGATGGCGTTCGATTTACGAACAACCACTGCTATTCGCCCTGGCATATATAAATCGCTTCTACTTCCTCTCTTATGACACATTTCACTGCCTTACTTACACACAGTTCCGTTCTCCTCACCAACCCCCTATCAGACCAAAGGATTCTAAAATTTGCCGCAATGACTAACACATCTCCCACGAGGCTATGGGGGAAAGAACAGCCTCGTTCTGACTCTGAGCGAAAAGGCTCTCAAGGAGACTTCGGTGCGAGTACTGAAAGACCGGAAGCTATGATAGCTAGAATCACGATGCAGAATCAAATTACGCCAGTCGCGAACCCAAACATTTCTGGTGAAGAACAGGAGAGAAAGACTGAGGGAGGAGAGAGAGCGGCAGATGTAGAAGCAGAGGAAGGTAAAAGTCAAGATATCGATGAGAATTCCGGTGGCGTGATGGACAGGGTTCGGGAACTGGAGCGTAGGAAGTAACGCGGGGACGCAAGCTCTTCCACCTTCACCTTAGCCTTAACCTAAGAATTGAGACTCCCGCGTTTTGCAGAGCGACTCAGCAACATTCTAATAATGTTTGACAATAGCTATGCGAGGGTTCTACGGAGGTCTGCAGCCCTCCTCAAATCTGGATTCCGATTCTAAGACTATTGAGAGATGCGCATAAGATCAAGCTATACATACATGCCACTTACTCACCGAAAGTAAGTCGGCGCCGTAGCCTTAGCAGCCATCCAAGCCTCATCCAACGCCTTGACAACATCATCAGGCAACGGTCCCTTCTCCAAATCCGCCAGATTACCCTCCAACTGCTTCAAGCTGCTAACCCCAATAATAACACCATCATTTCCACCCTTGACTCGTGTCTTCAGTTCAGAGTGGTGGACACACCAGCGCAGCGCTATCTCGAGCAGCGTCAGGTCGTGCTTCTGCGCAGCATCTTCAGCAATCTTCAGAGCCTGGAAAGTAGCGTCTTTAAAGTAGCGGTCGCGGTACATGCTTCCGACGCGATCTGCTTTGGTGCCGAAACGGCCTTCGTCGGGCTTGATGTCTTTGGATTTGATCTTGCCGGAGAAGAGACCGCCGGCTAGGGGGTTGTAGATGACGATGTCGATGCCGTATTTGCGGCATGCTGGGATGAGCTCGGGTTCGATGGCGCGAGCTTGCACGGTTAGACTAGGCCCTTCACATGAGAAGGTAGATACTCACTGATTGCGTTGTACATCGCCTGGTAGATGGTCGGCTTCACCCAGCCTCGCTCCTTGCAAATGTTGTATACCTCCGCAACTTCCCACGCAGCGAAATTGGAAAGACCCAAATTGACAAACTTGCCCTGCTTGTGCAGCTCATTCACAGCACCGAGTGTCTCCTCGAATGGCACGGAATGGTCCGGCGCGTGCAGGTAGAAAATGTCGACACAGTCTGCGCCCAATTCCTTGAGACTAGTCTCAAAATGCTCCTTCAGCCTATCAGGCTTGTGGACACCAGCCTCATAAGGGTACACTTTGGTGGCGAGGGTAAAGCCGCGGTCCTTCCACCCCGCCTGGCGCGTCCATGCCTCTTGCTTGCCGCCAACGTACATGCGCGCCGTGTCGATCTCATCGTAGCCTTGAGATTGGAAGTAGTCGAGATGCTTGGTGAATTCATCAAACTCTGTGATGCGCGCGCCGCTGGTCTCGTCGGGACCTGGGATGCATTAGTCATGGTGTTGGGGTGTTGATCGGCGAAGCGTACCGAATGTCATCAATCCGAGGATGACTCGGTCTTTGGGGTTCTGCGCGATGAGAGGCATCTTGGCGTTTTGTCTGAGTTGTGCGGTAGTACGAAGTAAGGAATATTGATGTAGAGCTTCATGCTTGCCGTCATTGTCGCGAGATGACGACAGCGGGGTGCCCCACCCGGAGATAAAGACGCGGAGATATGCGGAAGAGCCGAACGAACCTTCTTCATTGATGGATGTCGATACACAAATGCTGCGAGTATCCCACTCCCTATTGCTTCGACTTGTACCTCAGTCCATTCCAGCGAAACGCTTCCAAGTCGTTGTGAGCCTTATCTACGTCAACATCCTGGTCGCTCTCGAGCCTTCCGGGTTTAATCCACGCCCATCCCTTAACGAAGATGGTCTCCTCTGATGACATCCAATGCCAGATCAGAAGTACTGCCGCGGTAGTTGGTAGAGAGGCAGCCCAGTAGATGCCAAAGCTTGGCTGTATGACCTTTGGCCCGTCCCACTTGAGTAAAGGCATAGCGAAAAGAGTAGCGAAGAAGGTAGGAGGCAGAAAGATCATGGTCATGATCGCGATAGTCTTCATCGAGTAACTGTCCTTTCGTGCTGCTAGTGCGATCTCCTTGCTACTTTTAGCATCGTCACGCGTGAGTAGGTTGAATATCTGGAGTTCACAATCAGCTGCTGGTGCGACGTCCTGGATTGTTTGTTTCAACCTACTACAGCCTGCTGCGTGCGGCCACGCTCTTGGAGATAAACTGCCTGCAGCTCGCCCGATTTCGTCTGACCTTCCAACATCGATGCAGCGACAAGGATATCGTCCAATGGCATTTGAACGCTGGGAGTGCTCGAAGATTGCGCAAGCGTCGAATGAATTGGTGACAAGGGTTGGGCTGATACAAGGTCGTTGAGGATTGCTCTTACAATGCAAGCGTGCCGGGAGACATTTGCAAGTGCCGTAAGTACGAATCCTAGCCGCTTAGAATGCTTCATTAGCTCATCCGTACTTGGAGGAGAGTCGTGCAGCACCTCATGCCATGCGCCATGCCCAGTGGTAACCTCTATGGATCGAATGCGGCCCAGGTTTTCGAAAGCAGTGCCTTCGATCCAACGGACCGTTTGTATGGCACACACGAAGGAACAGAAACGCGCGTCGCTTATAAGATCCTTGTGGTGAATGACGGTGTCTATCACGCTCTTAAAGATCTGCTGAGGATACTGGGAATGTTCTCGGGGTATGAGCACGGCTTTGGTGGTCGTCGCATGAGGGTCGTAAGTCCACAGCATCGTATACGACACGGTATGTAGGTAGCAAGCATACTGCGTGCCACCTTCCTTCAGTCGAGGAAAGAACCCGTATGTCGAAGACAGTATCATGCCAAGCCAGTACGGATCGTACCCGAAGTTGTCAAAGATCTCCAGAAAGGTTCGCCGGTCGATGGCAAAGACTCCTTCGAAATCGCGCTCCAAGCTTATCAGCCGCATAGATGCTGTTGCTGTCGCGTCGACGTTCTTGGGGATAGGTGTATTGACCTGGTCACATATCTCAGAAGTCTGGGACCAATGAACATTGGTTAGTTTGACGGTTGTCTCTGCTTCGGTATATTGCGCCACGGTTAATAGCGAAATTCTAGCATCGTGTAGTTCGGCACCTTGCTTGAACTTTTGCTCCGACAGAAATCGCGCTCGCGCTTGCTTTCGTAAGCCGTTCATCGAGGTGGATATTCGTTCTCAGCTGAAGAGGCGGATTCAAGGTAGCAAGCTGAGTTGGTCAAGAATAAGAAGGTTGAGGAACATGCAGGCGGCGTGGCAGGGCAATTAGGTCGCGACAACATTGTGGCTGAGCCATTGCACTGCCTGGGGCTTCAGCTTCTCTCTCGACCATCCATTCTTTTCACCTGCATATGACATTTCTGACCGTTCGACTTCTTTGCGCTCATCAGTGCACCGTATCTTGTAAAGCTTCCGCAAGATGCGCGCGCGGCACGGGTGAAGACTAGCGTGATTACATAGCGTGGGTGGATGCCTTCGGCAGGCCATCGGAATGTTTCCGACATCACTCTTTCTTCATGTCGCATTCCATCCGCGATGTTCTCAGATCATCTCTTCAGTCTCTCCTGTATGACGCAACATATCATTGACGCGAGTTCATGCCAAGCCGCCATGCAACAGCCCGACACCGAACTGACAGGACTCGTGCAGGTGCGATCGGAACGAGTCGAGAGCACTTGATCTCGGGTTCTACCGCATCCCCACCTCTTGTGGGCGATCAGCTTCATCTCTTCATTGGATGAGTCATCGTATAGCATGCGACATGTTCCAGCCCAGGCTGCTCTCAATACTCCGGCGCCGCCGATATCGTTCTGATGGTGTCGGTCACGGCAATTGCAATATAGATTGCTCTGCCTTGCTTCCGAATGGTTCCTCGATTCATTGGAAACGCCACGACTTGGTTGGGAGAAGGCGTCTGCGCGCGACTATTGGCCAGCTATCTCGGACCTACCAAGGCTCCGCGACGCGCGCGAACTGCTTGCAGCAAGGCGTCGAGGCGGAGCGTATGTCTCGCGAACGCCGTCTGTGCTAAGGACGTGCAAAAGCAGGAACAGCACACTCCCGCGGCCGTGCAACCCTTGAAGGCGATGATGAGGAATGGCTGAAACCTTGCGAGGCATCGCATCGTAGCCAGCATTCACAGCTCGCTTGCGGCGGTGGGGCGCTCTCGCACCAATGACGTCGCTGATGGGCCGATAAGGATAAGGAACCCAACATGTTGCAGCGCTCGGCTGGTCAGGCGGTCATCATCATGCAGCTAACCTGCACCATCATGCACCATGCTGCAGCTAGCAATGCCCATCACCCTCGCAGCATGGCCGAACTCTGCACCCAGGATCGTCCCGCAACCGTCCCGCCGCTCTTCTGTACAGCACAGGTGCCACGTAGCAGCGACGCAGGTACGCACAGAAGCCGCACACAAAGAAGCATAAACGTCGCGGGCAGATCGCTGCAGCTTATAAGACTGACAGCCGGCCCTGCGCTGGTGTTCCAGTGTTCTACACTCCATTTCACTGCAGACCGACATCTGCAGTGCGCCAGACAATGAGGCGATCAGCTGGAGCCCGAGGTGTCATGTGGCCCAGTAAGCCACTGTGTGCAAACTTACGAATCAGTCACTTTCTCGCACACCATCAAGTGGGCTGTGCCCTGATTGGAGCGCAAACCCTCGATACAAGGTACTTTGACTGAATCCTTTCTTGATTTAGCTTATGGCCATGCGTCTATTGGAATTTGGCCTCCACGCCGCGACTGCGGTGCACTTGCTCCCTTGCCCGGCCGGAACACTCTTTGTCTTCACATGATATCATAATTCTCAATCCGCTTCTCTCAAGTCTCCTTCCCTTGAAACGCTAGATTGTTCCTGTCTATTGGCTTGTGTCGCGCGTCTTAAGTATCACCCGCGTCCCCCATCGTCGAATTTAGCTTTCCGAACTTCGGCATCTGCATGCATGCAGTCATCACCTCTTCAGAACCTGGATACTGGACTTGAACCTTAGGCGCATAGCGATCCGAGACTTGCATCTTGATCGCCATGTGTTGGTCTTTCAACTTTGGCTTTCCAGGCAACAAAAAGCGTAAGGACTCGTCGTCGTCGGACGAGAAGAAGAGGCGGGACCGACCGGCGGATAGCGCGCTTCATGGAGAGGGAAGGCCAGTCGCTGCAGAATATTCAGAGAAGCGCAGTTCCAAGGACTCGAGCAGAAGAAGAAGATCTGGTGACTCTACCCCGCGATCTCCGCGGTCGCCGCGCCACGAAAGAGAGAGGGAGGAGCACCGCCCGCGATCGCAACACCAGTACGAAGATGCATACCGAACTCGCGAGAGACGCCGCTCTACCCTGGACGTCGAAGTGCCGCAGGTGTATCGCCGTGCAGCTGAGACAAGTAGCGTCAACTCATCACAAGAGGCTCTGCTGAACCCACGCCCCCACCGAAGTCAACACCGTCGGCGGCAGCACCCAAAGCAAACGTCGCAAAGCACTCTGCGCGGGCGCGGAGCAAAGCGCGACCCTGTAAGACATTCAAAATCGAAGAAAAACGTCCGACCAGAACCTTCTCGGGGGTGGTCACTCTTTGCGCCCTCCCCACCTAAGACACCAAAGCGCGAACATCGCAGTTACCAGACCCTGGATTCCTCGCCCCGTAGCAACCGCTCATCCCGCCAGCATCGCTCCTCGACTGCATCTCAGACAAGTCCAGAGTCATCACGACCTCAGAACCGCCACCACCGTTCTCGTCAGCACGACCAGTCAGCTTCTTCTCCGCGCCAAGCGCGTTCTCGCACCCCAAACACAGCTGCTCGTCGCGTGCCTGACAGACGGTTCGCTGTACTCGCCGCTACCAACCAGGCGCTTGAGGAAGTTCGACAGGAAGCATTCGCGCAACCCTCCCCACCTCCGCGACGAGAGAGGCTGCGAAGGTATGAAGGTGTTACTATCCCGACGTCGCAGATACCTTTCAATTGGGATTGCGTAAGCAGCTCGCAGGCCTCAGCCAGACCAAGCAATCGGAGTGGTGAATCGAGTGGTCGGAGACGGTCGCGTCGTTGATGGGTTCGTTCATGAGCATTGCATCTCGCATCTCACTCAAGCACCTGGCCAATGCGGTCCCGGCAGACCCGGCAACAGACAGACCAGTGGCGCATTATCACACGTTGTGTAGCGACTATTTCCTTTTCTTCTCCGCATTCTCTCGATAGTCTTGTAGTAAGATACCCCCCGGCATATCATCGGTAGTTTTGGGCGTTCGCATCACATCATTCGGCCCCGGCCTAGCACAGTCCATTTGGCGTTCTTTGGCAACACAATACCCCTGCATCACATATTCTCGCATTGCATGTAGTTTTCATTGTTGTAATAGTAGAATACATATCTTCGCATCTTCGCATCATCTTTGTCTTGCATTGCGCATACCTTTTACCGGTGAAGTGATCGAGGCGCCCTCATGATTCACCTAAGCACATGGCCAGAATCTTGCCACGTGACGTCTCTACGCTCAATGAGTCTGTGGCCACGGCCATGCGCACATTGTATACTTCATACTTTCGCAAAAGTACGTCTACATGTAGACACATCTATACATGAGCTCATCGCCTACCATCGCAACATAGCCAACCGTCGCCGCATCACGAACTCACACCTCCCACCGGTCACATCTCACCTTCTTCGACGCTAACCCTCATCCAGCATCCCCCATACCCCCCGCTCATTGGCCACGGAGCATCTTCCTCAGTAACTCACACCTCCATCCCCTTGCTATCCCCTCACCTACCTGTCTAGGCAACTTCGGCGTGAAGTTCCATGGGCTCGATCGACAAATGCGCAACCCGGTTTATCAAACATGCGATTTGAGTGAGGGAATGACGGGGCGAAGTGGTAATGGGGTAAGTGACATGCTGGTGTTCGGGGAATTTCACCGAGGTACAGGACGGGTATTTTGTGGAGCCTGGGCTTGGCGGTGGGGCGAGCTCGTCAGGGGGGGGGAGCTCGAGCACAAGACCTGTCTTCTGGGTGCCTTCTAAGGTTGTTACATCGCTTCGCGACGCGATTCACGTTTACACTTTTACTTTAGTTTTGATTGCGCATTTTTGACAAGAGTGGATGACTGGATACATGCCAAAACACCCATGAGGCTCATTGCATGTCCATACGGAATGTTCAGAATCTGCGCATCGCACGCCTGGGTCTCCATCAAGATCTATTGTCGGACCACGAGCCACCAGCATCCGCCACCAGCGTCTTCAATTGAGCGATGAACTCATCCCACACGTTCTCGTTGTGCTGAGCAGTCCCGTCATGCCACGTGTGTGGGTAATTCTCCCCTTCCGACACGCCATCAGCATCCACCACACAGTCTCGATGCGGCAGACCATCCGACCTGGCATAGATAACGTGGAAAGACTCTTCATCTACAGTCACACGATCTGTTGAGTTCTCCAGCTTTCTCTTGGACTTCAGCCCGCATGCGATGAAGCGAATGGTATAGCCTTTGGCGTACGGCGAGATCTCAATGCTTGCTAACGGTATGCGTTAGCTCAGAATGACAGGATCTGGGGTGTTGAGCAAGTTACAATGTCTGCTCAACTCGAACGGCTGGTATGGCTCCTGCGGTCCCTCTTCATGCATGCGGGTGAAAGCTTCGTCGTCGAAACCTACTCCTGCAGTCGGCCTCAGTCGTTTGTGGTAGGCTTTGGTGTCGTCTACAATGAGGTAGTACGTTCCTGATCCGTCTCGGCGGCTACAGAGGAATGTCGCTTGGTTCACTGTTAGTGTCCATGTACGTCGGTTATCTTGAATGGACGTACCACGGTCTTCATCGTCACCCTCGCTCTCGCTTTGGGCTGCGTGTGCGGGCATCTTCATCGTCACCCTGGCTTTTCCTGTTGGCTCATTCGCGCCTTCAGCTGCTTCGTAGCGGTTAGCAACAACTCTCCTGTTCTCTCATAAAGTATTCACTTACCGTTGGCAGCATCTCCGCTGGCCTCGCTACCGGTTGCTCGCGACGATGGTTTCATGCCTTCTCCAAACTCGTTCAGTCCTTGGAGGTGGGGGTCTGGTCGCACCGATGGGCCCTGCCCTGCTACGTAATTTAAGAGGTATCCGTCTCGCTCGGTAAACGGTCTTACATGCGTGCGAACTCCAGGACCCTCAGCCGGCTTGTACAAGATTGTCACGCACTCCACCATTTTCGCTTCAAGGACGAAAACACCACGTGCGCGAGTGCCAGCCTCCCCTGCCATATTCACTGTCGGACCGGAAAGTGTGCGAGATATCTCCCAGGTAGAGTCCCACAGGCAGTTCACCACACGTTCTTCTTTAGCTTCGATGACGTAGTCTTCAAGGATAGAGATATGGCCGGGGATGTTTGCGAAGTCTTCGGCGATGTACAGCCCAGGCCATTGGGTCTTGTAGTACATCTCTGAGTCCTGGCTTGTCGTGGTCTCGAAGTCTTTGATGGCATCTTTGAGCTTAATCAAAGCATCTCGCGTTTGGGCCATCGTGTCTTGCTATCTCCTGGTGCTGAGTGAGCTTTTGGTGGGTGTGAAAGAATGAGGTTGAGCGTCATTATATGATGAGTCTTGTAGTAAGTTTGACGGTAGTGTACTTGCGTTCGGTCAAGCTGACTACGGCAATCGATCATTTTAGTCACAGCAAGCAGTCTTCAAACAAGGCGATGTCACCACCCGATGCACTCCATAGGTTTTTGTCACCGGTCGTCTCGTCTTGCGCTTCATCGGACATGTAAAAAACAGCACAGCGCAAACTTCGCCCTCGGTTTTGTTCAAACTGGGCATCTTCCATTCGGTACATACAATGACTACACACATCCGCTCTGACACAGCAGCTATATCACAAATGCGATGGAAGCTAAGTTAGCTACTGACAGCTCCCCCAATACCAACTACACCATGAGCTACTGGTGCTCATCACGCCTGCGAATCAGTTGCCGATGCCCAAGTGATGCCACAAATGCCTGATCATTATGTCTCCTCCTCCTTCTTCGACTCCGCTTCGCCTGCTAATGATAGTGAGTGTTCATTCTCGTTAAAACCAAATAAGAATCGACTTACCTGCATCGTCCTCATCTGCCAATCCAAGAAATCTCCTTGGTACAACCCGCTTGTTCTTCCGCAAGTCGTTGGGCTTCTTGTTAGAGTCTCTCACATAGTCCATAATCTTACAATACTTATCTCCCTCTTCCATAGGCGAAACGCGTAGTCGTGTACCTTCACCATCATTGTCCGATCGGATCAAGATCGTCAATTCCTCTTTAAGCTCATTTCCGAAGATCAAAAGGCCATGAACTTTAATCCCAAGCTGCCATGGTTGAAGTCCTATCCTGTGGAGGTCTATCTTCTCTTCTTCCCATGCAGAGTCCCAGAGAACTTGGATTTGTGGCGGTTCACTGAACTCACGCAAGATGGTGAAATGGTGTGGGTGACGTCCTTCGTCTGCTCGTATGTAGAACCCCTTTCTGCGTTTGATGGCAAAGTACTCTTTGCCGTGGCCGGAGAAGAGGTCTTCGAAGTCCTTGAATGCGGATTTGAGCTTCTGGAAGGTGACTTGAACGCTTGGGTCTTTTTCGAAGCTGTATTCCATGGCGGCTGCGATGTGACTATGGAGTGACCGTCGTAGCTGGACGTCTTGCAGTGTTATAGCTTGGCTGATGCGACAAGTTTGCGCATGGCACACTCATATCGTCCATAATGACCTTTGCGCCTGTCGCGCTTGACCTCGTAGCAAGCACTCACTGCATATCGCAGATGCAAACTACTGTCATATGAGACTTGGAGTCGCGAGCCAAGGCGCCAGCGATATGTCAACACTACCCTCGAGGCGTGGAATAGCATGGTGACTTCCTTCATATACAGGTAGACAGTCCTTTCAACCTTATCACAGGTCTGCAGTTCAACACTTTACTCTGCTGACGTATCTGGTTTTACAAAACACCAATTTGTCGTGATGACAATGAAGTTTGGCTTTCCGGGGTGGCACACCCAAACACCAATGCCTAGCCCGACATCATCCGCGCCGCCTTGGGTGATGAAGACCTGGCCTTAACCAGTGAATGCCCAAAGGGCCTACTGCAATATTACGCGGATCTTGTCAGACGCCAATGTCTTCATCAACGCGCATCCTTCCTCCATATAGCATCGCAAGTGTTCTCGTTGTCTACTGTACTCTACTCACTACCTCCATCGCCACCTTTCAAAGCAGCTTCCCCACCATCCTCCTCCTCACCGCTCTCCTCACCTTCCTCGTCAATTTCCTCCTTGTCTTCTGCGTCTATGTCATCAAGCTCTCCGTCACTCTGCTGGCACATCCGTACACGTCCTTCCCCGATAATCTTCTCTAGCATATCCATAAACCTCGGAAACATGACCACATTGTGTTTCGCATAGTCTTCGTTGTGTATACCCTGCGCCCTACCATTGTACTTTCCTTCCCACGTGTCGTGCTTGCACGGAGCATGCCAACGATCAAAGGGTAGATGCAGGTGAAACTCTTTCCACTTGATTGTTGCTCTGCTGCTCTTCGTGCTCTTACCCTTGAAGATTTTCCCTTCTATAGGGCCGCCTCTGATCTGTGTAGTATGGCCGCAGTTGTTGAGACGCAGGGTATATCCGTGTTTGAAGGCGTAGTATTCGATATGAAAGGGCTCATCGGTATCGTCTTGCTGCAGAAGATCGACGCGTCTGTTCTTGCCTAGCTGCATCTTTGGTGCGCTCGGGTCTTGTAAGTCGAGGATCAGAGTGACCCAGCTTGCATTGTGCTCGTGAACATAAAGGAATAACGCTTGTATGTTGTTAGCTTTGTCTTGCCAGCTTGCTGATGCGGTATAGAGTACTTACGGTCATCCAAACCTGAAGCTGCAACACCGATGCTGCCGGACACTGAGTCACCAGTGACTATCGGATTAACGTTATCGCCCACTCTAGCTGCCGGAATAGGCCTCTTGAAGTCCTCTTCAGTCAGCCGCGCCGGATCGTGTGCCTTCGCGTACTCTTGAACAAACTCAAGACGCGCGCTTTTAGGCTCAGATCGCATAATGCTAGGTATACCCTTGACCGGGGCATGATAGACTGTAATCGGTTGACTCAGCTTCTCGTAATCGGTTACAACGCCCAGGGCAGAATGAGCCGCGTTGCGGGCTACCTCCACTGTCATTTCGGCGAATGGCTGGGTGTGGTCCCATGAAGAGTCCCACACTAAGAAGTCCTCGGTACCGGCATGTCTGATCACTGTGGTGCGGCCGTGGACGTTTGCAGGGTTCATCGTGATGTAGAGCCCGGCGATGTTGTCATGTAGCCAGTACTCATCTTTGGCGCCTTCTTCTGGGCCCTTTGTTTTGGCATCTTGAGTGGTATCCGATTCGGTGGTCTGACGTTCGGCGGTAATATGCTCGGCGGTTCGATGCTCGGCGTTCTCGTGCTCCATAGTGTTTTGTTCGGGGTTCTCCATACTGATAGGGTAAATCCTGGTTGAGGCGAACTGAACATCATGAACTAGGCGACAAGGCGAGCCTCTTATGTCGTGAGTAGGCGCACAGCTTGCTCAAACCTGCTTCTCAGCTTGGACATGATTGCAATAATCATACCTGCGCAAACAACTACAAAGGCCGCATGTTCAAGCATACTCCCCCTTGTCCAGCCTATTCGACGTCTCCATAACTGTCTTACTCTTCCGCATCTTCATCCACAACCTCACCATTTTCCAACTTCCTACACCTCTCCACATTCCCTACTCCCACAATCCTCTCCAACGCATCCATAAACCGGCCAAAGACACCAGCGTTATGTTCCGCATGCCGTGTATCATGCGGGCCAAATGCCGTCCTGTCCCTACCGCCCAAAACCCCATGCTCGAAACCCGCATGCCACTTATCTGACGGAAGATGAACATGACACTCCTTATACAGGACCTCCTTTCTTTCGATCATAGTCTTAAAGCCGCAATCGACAAAGCGGAGGGTGCGGCCTTCTTGGAAGGGGTAGCATTGGATGGTTATGGGTGTTTGGCCGCCCGCGCCTCTGAGATTAATGACTTTGAGGTTTGTTCTGGCTTTTATCGGGTTGATGGTTAGCGTCCTTGACTGCTCGTTGAGGGTGAGGGTTGCGTAGCTCGTACGGTGCTCGTGTGCGTGGAGGTAGAGCGCTGGGGATGGTTAGTACCTTGGTTTATGTCCATGCATGTGCTTGGGTATACTTACAGTTGTTTGTACCTACAGACGCAGCGATAGCGGGTGCAGAAGCGATCGCTGCGTCGCCGTCGTCTTCCTCCTCACTTTCCTCGTTAGTCGGATGCTCCTCATCCTGGTCGTCAACTCCCTCGTACTCTGATGCCGAATCCACCGTCATACTGAGCTGCTTCTGGCGTACATCCGCCCCTCCGCCTGACTTAGGGTCATATGGTGGAATCGGCTTCGCAAGATCCTCTGGCGAGACGTCCGCCGCATCGAGCGTCCTCATATATCGCGGGATGCGTTGCTCGACACTGTTTGAGGGGTGTATGTAAATAGTAGTCTGCTGGCCCTCGAGTGGGCTATAATGCACGGTAACCGTCTCCTCCAGCTTTGTAGGTACAGCAAAGATATCGTGGGGACCGCCGGTAGTGAAAACGGCCTGGTCTTCCAGCATGGGAAGAGTTTCTGGCGCCCGTTTCCATGTAGAGTCCCATACCGGGTACATGTTGTTGTCATTCTTGTCATGCCTGACTACGGAAGTTTGACCACTGTCGTTACTGGAATCAAGGGCGATGTACAGTCCTGGAACCTTTTGTACAAAGTAGTTCTCGAAGTTGACTTCTTTGCCTTGGTTGCTTGTTTTATTAGTCTTCTCCATGTTCAGATGGTGAAAGTGGAAAGTAGCCGTATCGTGAAAGTCAAAATGACTGCGCGGGGGTCTCTATATCTCCTAAGTACCGTGAGACGCTTGCTCGAATCCCTCGTGATGTTTGAGCATGATCACACCTCATGATCCTAGATCGTCAGTAGCAATTGACGAGTGAATAACGAATCGCGGAAAAATTCTTCTCGCTGCAAATGTCGATTATTATTGTGGTGTACATGATCCTTGAGTAGTTACGATACCAATCCGTTTCCTCGTCACGATACCTTCGAGCTGTCATCTACATTATGACGTTCCGCGAAGCGCATTAGGCCCTGGGTGTCTAGTCTGAAGTCCAGGCTGAAGTTGTGCCGAAGTCGCCCTATCACTGGGTATGAGGTGCGACGCAATCGCCTTCTGTACTTTAGTCGCCATAAGACGTGTCTGACGTTGCGTGTGGAGATTGCCTTCTAGGAGCCTCATTATCGACTCGATGATGGCGCCGCGGGGTTTCCGTCTAGGCGTCCTTGCATTACGCTGCGTCGTCACTTGGCATGTTCCTGCCAGCCCACCCATGACCCCTCCAACCCATGGCGTATATGCCGACAACTTGCACAATATATACAATAGCGTGCCATCTCAAAAACGCCTTTGGGGTATCAAACGCCGTACAATGCCGTAAAATCGTGCAGGAAAGATGTTCATAACGTCGTCCATTACGTCGCGATAAACCCGCTCAAGGATTCGAATGAACGAAACGTGCGCCCTGGCAAGGCGAGCGAGCCTGCTTGAAAGCTTTTATCCGGCCTAGCATCCACCCAGACACCCATGAGCGCTCGCCTTCGCGGCTCTGGTGGTGGCCTAATCGGATGGAGTATCCGAGCCGGCATTCGATGCCGTCGTGTTCGAACTGGAGACAGCGGCCGTCTTTCGCGCAGGCCCGTTGGCATTTGTCGAAGGACTTGGAGGCTGTCTTGCCTTTTCGGTATGTGACGTCTTCCGACATGTTGGACCAGTCTTCGGCCCTCTCCTGCAAGTGTGGCTCGATCATTGTGAAGAGCTCTTCGAACATGAGCGGCCGTTCGGGATGCGATCGCGCTTGTTCCCATTGGGATAGCCGTGTGAAGTCGTCTTCGCCGAGGTGGTGCATCGTCATGATAGCTTCGCACCACTGCTCGTTGTCGAAGCGCATGCTGAAGGGCTTCTCGCCGTTGAACATGGGCCAGTATCCGCGGAGGGAGACTCCGCTCTTCTTCAGTACCTGCGCCAGCATCTCGTCTCCGCAGCATTGCTTCTTGACGTCGACGCCGAAGAAGTGTGTCCCGGGGAAGTGCTTGTTCTCGCCAAACATCCTGCCCAGCGCCATGATCTTGTCCAGCGCCGCGCGCGATAGCACAAAGCCAGTCCCACCATGTGCAAAGGTGGTCTTCTTCTTGGGCCAAACGGGGGATCCGAAATAGTGGGCCGTCTTGGGGTTGAAGTTGGAGAGGAAGCGGTAGAGGTTGTCGTAGTTGACGTAGGTGTCGAGTTCCAGGAAGACATACCACTCCGACTCGGGCCGCATGTATGACGTCCACTCCATCATGGGCAGGAACTTGTACTTGTCCAGCCGCCACCCCTCCTCCGTCTTGTCCTGGGTGCTGTTCGTGGCCTGTATGCGGTCGTATACGTCAAAGTCGGGGTTGTTGAACTTGTACTCCGGGCGCAGGTGGGCGAGGGCGTCGGCAATCTCGAAGCCGTTGAGCGAGTCCTTGCGGTCCGAGAAGATGAGCAGATCCTGTTTGCACCTTCCCAATCGGTTGAGATATAGCGGCAGCTGGGTCGCGACTTCCCCGGCGCCAATCTTGAGCACAATGGTGACGCGCTCCATGACGCCGGCGGTGAAGGGCGAGCACTCCTCACCAAAGTGCACCGGAGCGACGGGCGCGGGCCCAGCGGGAGGGGGCCGCTCCTGCAGTATGTCGTAGCCGCGCTCGCCCCGCCATAGCCGGAAGACGAGCGACGTGAAGAGGAAGGTCACGAGGGTTATGGCGACGCACAAGAGGCGCAACGGCGTCAATCGCACCCTCATGGTGGTGGTGGTGCGAGACTGAGTCCGTCATGTTTGCATGAGCGGGCCTGGCGCGCGCAAATTGGCGCTAGTCCCAGCTCCAATCCGGCTAGCCGGCCGTTCTATGCGCGCCTCCGCGGGCGGCCTCGAACGTCTCTCCGACATCATCATCACGAGTATCATGGTAACACCAACTTTGCTTTCAGCCTATGAACATAACTTCTACCATCAGTACCTCACCACGCCTTCTAAATAGCCATCTTGACCTGCCAATCTTCACCCCCGCCAGACACCCGGAACTCAAGCGAGCTAATCTTCTCTCCATCAATTCCACCCCGGAGACGCAGACGCGTCAAGATCCCTCCAAAGTAGTCCACCCGGTTCCTATTGCAGGACGATATGTAGCGCGCAGCCTTTGGCTTCAGGACTAATGTCAACACCCAATCAATCGCGTGCCTACGCACACCAGACGGAGTATGACACGACACTGGCTGTGCGCGTAGGGTAAGAGCATCCATATCTTTAAGCCACAAACAGAATCCCAAGAGTGACGGAACATAATCAATCGCCTCAAAAAGACTGATCGGCCTATTCTCAATAAAGACCTCCGCCCTGGGGTGACCACGCAGGTACTCGCCTAGCCATTTGAGGTCAACACTGGTGTTTGGTCCCCACCCGTGATCGCGACTGAGTCCGACGACTAGTTTACATGCGGGAAGCGGAGCAAAGGCCGACGTATCACTATAGAATGTCCGGAGGAAGCGTTCTACTAGCACAAAGTGGATACGAGTCCTGACCGAGCCAAAGTACAAAGGCATGTACTCCGACCGAGTGGTTCGGCATGCATTGCCCAAACCGACCGCTGTCGTCAGTCCGACGCCTGAGAGGCAGTAACCATATATCCGGTTACGTAGTTCTGGAACAATGGTTAGCAAAGTGCCGGCAATCTTATCGTCATCACCTACCACCGGGAAGATCTAGGAAATTTTTGGGTTTCGGGATTCCTGAGGTCTTCGTGTGTGAGGAGTGCGCGTTCATTGATTCAAGAGCGGTGCTCGAAAGCTTGTTGCCCGACTTCTCCATGCTGTCAGGTACGATGCTATTGTTATTCAAGGATTTGCAAGCGTACGTGGTCGATTTGGAGTGAACAGTTAAGAGATATGCGATTGAAGGTACAGAAGCATGTTTCCAGGTTGTCGCCCTCGGAGGGCGTCATTATATCAGCGACGTGCACAACATACAGCTTTCAACAATGCCTTTCACCCGGCCTTTCCTCAATGGAGTGTCGAGTGAATGGAATTGTCGACTTCACACTTCCAGTACTACTTCCAGTACCGCTACACAGCCTGGATTGCACTGTACAAGAACTTCTTCGAGAGTCTGTGTACTTGCAACCCTCTGTTACTTTCACTGGTCCAATGGCATTACAGGCCTGATTGGCCGCGGGTACGGCGAGTCTGTGCCTACCTTGTCGTCACCCCAAAGTTGGCAAGGGGCGCAGTCCTCTGCGCATCGCCACACTGCCTACAAATCGCGGCGCCAATTCTTCCTTTACCTACACATACAACTTCTCAACTCGTCACGTACAACCGCTAGACATCCCAAAAGCCCGAACACAATGACACCCTCATTCACAGAGTAAGTATATTACATTGCAACATTCTTGACATCTTGCTAACACATTCCAGGATGTTATCTTCCGCGCAGTTCACGTTCCTTTTAGGAGCCACCCGCGAGCCCGTCACCGTCCATGTCGGCATCATGTCAGAGGTATCTGAGCCCCTAGACCGCCTTATCAACGGCCCAATGAAGGAAGCGCGGGAGAAGTGCGCGGCTCTGCCCCATGTCGAACGCGACGTCTTCCTGGGCCTCGTCGAATACGCATATCGCAGTGACTACAACGTCCTTTCCTGCGAAATTGACCCCAATATCGAAGTCGAAGTCGACATGGAGGCTAGATCGTGCGAGACCTTGGACGACTGGGTTCCTACAATAAGCGAAGAAGATTATGCCAAAGCAACCACTCCTGAAAAAATGTGGCATATGCCCCATTTTTACCCAACACCCTACGACCGCTTTGTCGTCAAGGAGCAATGTCCATGTTATAATGGAGAAGATTGGGACGACGTCGCCTCGCACACGAAAGAGCAACATGTAGGCCGGATAAACTACGAACACAAAGACGTCTTCCTCTTCCACGCCAAGATGTATTGCCTCGCTGACTACTACCTCATCCCCGCACTGAAAGACCTCGCCATATCCAAGCTCCACGTCGCACTACAACTATGCATGGAAGAAAAGTTCGTAACAACCCCGCAGCGGGTCGAAGATATCGTCGCCCTGGCTTCCTTTGTCTACAACAGCGACAACACTCAAGACCACGATACCCCTTCGCAGCGTGATGCCCTACGAGAAGAGATATTGGGTTACATCATGGCTCAGATTCAACACCTGGAGCTGCAACCTGCGTTCCAGAAGGCGCTGGGTGGTGGGGGCCAGCTGGCGATTGATGTGATTTCTGGTTTGAGGAAGGGGCTGAGTGAGGGGGCGGAGAGAATTAAGGCTGCTATTGCATATCGAAATGTGATGGAGGAACAACGTCTAGGACGAGGAGGATACTACGCCCTACAAGCGAATGGTCGGTAGAGAGTAAGGTTGTGGAGCAGGTCAAATGACTATTTTTTCTTCATTAGTCCTGTAGCTGCTTAGCTATCTCCAAGGTTTGCTTAGTGGCATATGTTAGTCATACGGCATCCTTCCTGCGGCTTCGTCTATCGTCTCATCATGCAGGAGTCGGCTCATATCGCACCATCAGCGTCCGTTCCCTTCGTCGCAACCTTCACGTCCCCCTTCTCCTCCCCCTCCCCATCTCCCTCTCCCTTTCCCTTTCCCTTCCCCTTCGGCCACCTAATCATATTCCACTCCCCACCACACCCCACAAACCCAAGATGCATATAAACCGCCCTCGCACTCGGCCTTGACTCCAGATACATCAATTCTCCCCTCTCATCCGCCTGCTTCAATGCCCACTCCATCAATCTCTTCCCCACCCCCCTTCCCTGCCACTCCGGCCACGTAAGCAACGGCGCAAGATACCAATGCCTTTCCCCGCCCGTCGCCTCCCGCCTTACCTCATCGTCTTTGGCGAAGCGCTCGCTCCAATTCTCGGAAGAGACGTGCGACCACATGAGATCGAGATCTGCGTCGGTCCAGCCTTGCTTCTCTTTCCAACCGTAATGTGTGGCAGCGCTGCGCCGGAAGAGGTTGTGTACGGAGGGGTTGGAGGGAAGGGTCCAGCCTGCTATTCCGATTGTTTCGCCGGTGGGGATGTAGATTGCTTTCATGAAGGTGTGGTGGGGGTCGGTTATGGCGGGGGTTAGTCGTTGGGCCATGCGTTGGATACGGATGGCGAGGCTGTTTGAGCCGGAAGGGCGCAGCTCGGGTGGTTCTTTTTTGGCCCACCAGTCTTCTGGGAAACAGAGGTAGAGGCCTTCGGCCTAGGTGGTGGTGTTAGTATGATGGGGTTTATGGGTGGGAAGATTGAGCCAGGGAGGAACTCACGATCTTCTCAGCATCATCAGGCGTGCATTTCTCAATACGCAACTCCGACTCCGACAACCGCCTTGAGGGCTCTGTGGGCATTGTCTGGAAGCCATCTGAATTATCAGTCGGCACTTTAATGAACTCCGCTTTCTGTGATGCCATGGTCGCGAGTGTTGTTGGAGTTGAACTTCGCAGCGTCGAGGCATGTGCAGAAGGAGGGGACCTCGGGATGTGACAACGTTGGCATTCCCACTCCCTAGGTAGGCAGGCGCCCTTCAACACACTTATGTAGACACCAGAACAGTAGACCTGCGTGATGGCAGTAGCATTACGCCCTTTCCTAGCGCTTACTCGCGCGAATTATCCGACGGAATGCTCAAATGTTCGCTGTCAAACGACTCACCCTTGCTCATGCGCGCCGGAGTAGACACCGACCGAGAGCACTTGGGGAGAGCGCGAACGCGGTGTCACGCGTTACCCGAAGCGGGCTAGATGCGGACGTCATTGTTCCGATCGGAAACGGAATGGAACGCTGCACCTTGACGTTGCACACATCGCGACTTCCGTCTCGTTGTCACCGAGATACTTACTCCATGATGGCCACAATGCTATAGAATGATACTCCAATATCCCTGAGCTCATCACAGATGGATCGCGATATCGTACCCAGCGACGCAAAGCAACGTATGCTGTGCGGGGACGCCTACCTGTCAGGCTGCCCGACCTCGGGAGGCTTCATCCTCGAACATCCATCTTACGGTTTCGCGATATCGATTGGCGCATACGACACACGGTGCCTTCCAACCATCCAAGTCAAGTGCGACGAAGGAAAGAGTGTCATTATTCATGCCTATGTAATGTATCGTGGCGAGCGTCACAGTCCTGCTGGGTTAGAAAAGTGGGTATGACCCAGGGTATGTACAAGGACGTAATGGAGGTTGCCCCGCTGTAGAATGCCGGAGACGAAAAAGAATGTGAAGATCATGCCAATATATGCCCGGGAAACAGGGGTGTTGCAGTATACATGCTATCAGATGTTGACAACCAGACAGTGTCTAAGACGACGTAGGCTCCTACCCATATTGTGGCCACCGCTACCGGGAAGGCTCTACTGGCTCCCAGTGGTCAAACCAAAGGTGATCGAGGAGATCAGACCCATTGCCCGCGAACAAACGATTGCAGCCGCGGACGTGGAGTGGGCATTTCCAGCGAAAGCCATCGGCACATCCCTCCATGTGGATGGCCGTGAAATGATTTTCGAACCCGGTCTTCGACTCCCAGTATTTTCTGGTGCTTCCCTCATGAGGCTTGCACTTCCATCCGTTGCCTGGGCAGCCCCTTCGGACAATGGCTGGTTGTGCTGGCTCTTTGCCTTTGCGTGAGGCACGCGGTTTTTTGGAGGCTTGAGGCGGAGGGGTTGTCTCGTCAGAGGGTCCGGTCTTCGTGCTCGGGCGTGAGTCATCGATGGGTTCGCATGCGACATTCGGGGGCGGCTCGATGAACGGGTGGGCTGAAAGGTGCACTGAGAATCATTAGTGTCGTATCGTAGTATAAGCCAGATCTACTGACCGACGTGTAGGATCTTTCCAACAAGCTCCTCCGCGGGGATCACCGCCATGATAGCGAGGTCTTGGAGGTTACCAGACAACGCCGTGAACGCGAGCCCAATGATATCGTTGGACCACACCATATACTTGAAGGTCTCGACAGAGTGGAAGATGAACTCTAGAGTTGCGCCTCTCACCAAGAGAGCAAGTATGGCCTGGTTCTGCTGAGCAAGGGAGGAGGAACCAAGAGTTGCCATGATGGAGTCCGTGCCCTGGATCAATTCGTACCCGTACGGCGAGCCCAAGTACGATGGTGTGGGCGGTGTGGCCTGGTTCGAACATTCACCTGTGCTGGAGTACATGCCCATGGTCGGGCTGTACTCCATTGCAGTGCCGGGAGCCGGACTCGTCTGGCTAGGGAAAGCCATGATCCCGAACGGAGACGAAGGAGGTTTACTTGATGGATGTGCGAGTTTCGGCGTGTTGTATTCGGCAAAGTTCAGGTAGGCTGTTGAGAAGTTTGGTGTGTTTGAAGGTAGAGAAAGAATGTGATGGTACTGATGAGTGTATAGGTATAAATGTCAACGATAGTAAACGAGAAGTTGAATTGACAGACCACCGGGGGTAGTGGTAGAGTGATTGTAGAATGTATCAAAGGAGTGAGTTACACCTCAAAGATTGCGAGAGATGCAGGGCGGTTCAGGATTTCGGGCTGAGTGCCGGCGTTGAAGACCATATATATATTCTATGTCCACAAGGCCTGTGGTGTGTGTCCATGGCGGTTTCTGCGAGCTTTGCTATGAATCGTAAGAAGGTAAGCTTTACCATGCCAAGGCTTGAACACCCTAGTTGGGATCAGACCTCGATGTGAAGGGTGGACGTGCGTTGGAGAAGGTTGCAATGACCACGTTGACGTGGGTCGGTGCCGAGCCCGTACCAATCAGGGCGGCGACGTCGTTGCCCTAGGGCATTTTATCCAATCAAAGATGGCAGTTGAGTGATGATTGAGAATCGGCGTCGGCTAAGCCTCAATGTTGTGGGTCGCCGCGACGTTCCTGCCCCTCTGTTAGCTTGCTCTACGGGGAGCTTGGGCCGCCTCCTCTCCCGGACTCGGTACGCTGCTTTCGAAACCTAGCGTCTGGTCACGGCGCTGGGAGCTTTTCCTCTGCCGGGCTGCCCAGGTGACCCTGGCTTCCGCTGCTCATTGTAGCAGCGACGTCTGTCAACCTTGATCAGGTATGCGTGAACGTGGGACAAGTTCGCTGTTGACCGAACTTTGTGAGATAAATTGCAATTTACCGGCTGATGTTCCGTTTTGTGCATGTGACCTCCAGGGCTTCTAGGACTATCTCACATTCCCGAGGTCGGCTTAACGCTGACACCTGCAAGTCGACAAAACAACTATGAAGGCTTTTGATTCGCACTCTTCAGATTTACAGAAGTGCCACCGAATCCATACCATCCAAAATTCATCGCAAAGCTTCAAAAACCAAACACTTTCTTCCACTGAGTCCCCATGTTCTGTAACGTACACACGACCTCGGTGTACACTGCACTTTGGAGTGCTTCGCCATGGAGGTCATCGTTACACGAGAAGTCGCAATACAGACATTTGCGCACAACCTCCAGGTAGCGAGGCCCTAGCGTCATGACCGAATGATGTTGTTCATCAAGCAGCTTTCTCGCGGCGATGATCTCACGAATTTGAGGCGAGCCCTCCAGCTGCGGCGTCGTGCTATCCGTCTGAGCACATATCTCTAGTAGCGCGACGCCGAGTTTAGCTAGTGTCAGATTGCGGATGCCGAAGTTATGCTTCAGATCAAGCGAGGATTGTTGCGATCCAGTGTCCGGCGAGGTCGGATCTGGGAAGCGGTTGCTCAGATGCAAGCTGTCCAGTGCATTGGATACATTGTTCGCGTCGGCTTGAGATTGATCCGTGAAGTATGCTACATCTTGAAGCGTCCATGCTTGCGGCAACCAAGAGGTTGAATGATATTGGAGAACAGCCTCAGCCAACTTTTGCGCGAGTGTGATCTTTTGCAGTGTCTGGAAGCGTTGCACGAGGTTCTTGATCGGTAGCGCTCCTTGTCGCCGGCTGCAAGAAGGTACATCGTTGGTCGCGAGCTTGCTGGCATCGTAGAACATGAAACGGGTTGTTGGCTCACTCTTCGCGACTTCAAGAAACCCCACGCAGCTATCTTGACATGCCGATGTCGATGAGCGCACTCTCGTTACATGACAGCATACGCTTTTCGTTGTCTTTAGATCTAGCATGACGAAAGATTGGGCTTGTGTTGCTAACGTGTGGCTTGTTGGTGGTGTTCGAACACATTCAATGTTGTCTTTGGGATCATTGATTCGAACTCTTTTCTTCGACTTGGCTTTGATGGGCGGCGTTGGGGTCGTAGCTTCCGACGCGTCGTTGATTCCACAACGAAACGCGTTCGCTAGTGCCTGTGGAGGTATCGTTGGAGCCGTGTACATCGCGAGGGATGTAATGGACCGAATTTGCAGCCATATTGGGACGTTGCTAGATGGACTACACATCGTCGTTAGTCGTCAGCGTTTCTACTTCCTTTCGGGACGCGAAGAACATCCGCTCTGACATACTTTTGAATTGCGGTATTCGGCTTTGGCTGGCAAGCGATGACAACGTCGAGTTGCACGTTATCGTACTCGCTTTTGGCGTCGAGCGATAACTTCGCCTGGTGTCCACTGTGAGAGGTGTTTGTGCAAGACCACGAGTCGTGAATGGACTCTCCTAACTGTTGTGAGGCGACGCGGATCTGCTGGTAGCTCCTTGGCACGGCTTTGCGGATGATGCAAGCCGAAGGAACATTGCGACGCTTCTGCATTTTGCGCCTCTGCTTACACAACTTGCCCAGCGACTTATTCCATCTGTCCAACGAATCAAGCTGTCGGAGGTACTCGTTCTCCTTGCGAGCTGTATTGAACGCGTTCCAAAGCTTCCGTGCGAACTCGTGTTGGGATTGTTTCGCGTTGCCCAGGCTATTCTCGAGCTTGGACAGGCTGTTCCGTGTCTCACGGAGTATATCGCGTTGTCGCGTCGCGATGCTCTCGCATAGCTCGTAATCGTGCTGCATCAAATCTCGCAGCCGCTGTTCGATCTCCTTTCTTTGTTCCTGCCAGCTCCTATGGGTCGGATCCTCCATCATCTCAGAGACATCGCTCGGATGGGCGATGGCAGCCTGCAGCAGATGGCGGCATTCGTTGCTAAAGTTCGCTGCTGCTACTTCGAATCTCAGCTGGATGTCGTATGCAACTTCCGCGTGTCGTGAGAAGGTCGCCAATGTGCGCTTGGCCGTGCCGTATGACTTCAGAATCTCGACAACAATGGGCACAACACCAAAAACTAGACCTGCGATTTCAATGCCGGACATGGTGTGAGCGATGACACTCAAAAGATATTGGAGTTGATGAGTCTTGGGATGCGCACTCGTCCAAGGTTGATTGAGCGAGGCGCAGTTTGGCCCCCAATGCGATAGGCGCATACCCCTCCAATGCGCAGCCCGTTCAAGTGTGGCTGCTCAGCCGTGTCGGCATCCTGGCAAAAGCAACATGATCCCTCTCAGCTTGTGCGCATGTCCTGATCCATCGTCTTCCCGCCTTTGAGCATCTACTGACCGTGCCCGCTGGTAGTCGGCGCGCATGCTTCCACCAAAGAACCGTCGTAATGCATCGGCTGCCGAAGAAGGCGGCTTGGTGAGGGAGCCCCGGCAGGCTGAAATGGAACGCACGCAAGACACCTCGTCGTCTCCAGCGAGTGAGCCAACCAATTCGCCTCCAACACAATCGCCGGCAAGGGCTCCGGGCGCCCATACCTTCTCCAGTTCTGGTTCAGAGAACGACCTACCGGTCCCTTTCGGTCGCGCAGGCAAAATCGCTACTCCGGGGGCTTTGCCTAGAGTTACTTTCACCTTTTGGAAAAATGAAGGCTGCCATTGTTATCATGTCGAGACTAGGGGTGTCTCCGTAGCTCGTCGCGACGACAATCGTATGATCAACGGCACAAAGCTGCTCACATTGGCTGGTATGACAGCAGCACGCAAAGGCGCTTTGCTGAAGAGTGAGAAGACTAAACACGTGGTTAAACTCGGGCCAACACATTTCAAAGGCGTCTGGATTCCGTTCGAGCGTGCCTTGGAATTGGCGAACGCGGAAAAGGTCGTCGACTTGCTATATCCCTTGTTCGTGGATGACATCGGGTCACTCGTATATCAGACTTTGGATCAGAAGCTCACGCCTCATGTTGACTCTCAACCCCAATTCGAAGAAGTGAAGGAAACGACTGGGGGTAGCAAAGCTAGATCAGTCCACTCTTCTGTGAAGAAAGAGGAGGACGAGGATTCACAACCGCTCGCCCTGCACACTGTGCAACATGTCGAACTCCAGGAGCTAGGAATTCTTGGGTCACTATTCAGATCTCTCACAGAGACGCTGGGACTCATCATGAAGGAGTTAAGGAGCCAATCTAGTGATGCTGGGCATTACATTTCTCTAGAGTCTACCTGTGCAACTTTGTTATTCTGGGGTACCGACCTTGGACTGCCGCGAGGCGAGCTCGACAATGTGCTCCAAGGCTCCCCCCAGTTGCGCGACACTTGTCTGGCCGTGCTCGTATCCATCTCTCGATTTGTGAGCACTTGTAAGTAAACTTCACTCACACCACTGTTTCGCCTTAACACTAACACGGGTCAGCTTTGATACACCTTGTCATCAGTGAACATCATCGAAAAGAGATTTTACAGTCCACCGATTTTGCGACTGTTCTGGAACAAGTCACGGACATGATTGGTCGACAACATGATTTCGCTTATCAACCCGAGCAAGACGCGGAGACAGTGTGTCAGACCCTCCGTACGAAGATAGATACACTGGTCATGTTGGCACCCAGCCTGGAATCGCCGGCTGAAGAAGTCTTCGACGAAGAGAAGCCTCGTACTATCCAAGACATGGGAGAAACCCTACCGGAACAGGCCTACGCTAGTAGTGTTGCAGAAAAGTTCCCTTTCGCTCCACCAGAAATGGTGGCCCAACTTGGGAGATTGAACTGGGATCGATATAATCACATTCTTCGTCTGCAACGGGAAGCAATGAAGCAGGAGCTTCAAGAGACCACTTTCGGAAAAGCGAAAACCATATTCCACGACTCGGGTCTGGGTACATCGGTACCCGCACAATCAGATGCGGGAGTGAACGCAGAACCTGTCTACGAACCATCGATGATGTCGAGCAGGGCTGAGGCAAGTCACAAGCGTGTGCCACCACTGCCAGCCCAAGCGCGGTCTGGCGAGCCTTTCACGTGCGAGATCTGCGAAAAGCAGGTGCAGTTCCAACGGACCAAAGCATGGAAGTAAGTTGGCCTTTATAATATCACTCCAATCACATCAAAGCTAACATGTCGTTTCAGAAAGCATGTGTTTGATGATATACTCGCATACGCTTGTTTCTTCCCCGAATGCCACGGAACAGGCGTCTTTTGGGAAAACGGCGATGGGCTGATGAACCATCTACAAGATCAGCATGCCATGGACGCTCGAGTCTCAGAAGTGACATGCCCCTTATGTGTTGACTTTACTTCGGGGGACCGTGATCTGTTATCACTCCACATTGCACGTCATATGGAAGAGATCGCCCTTGCAATACTGCCTTCTGGTGTCGACTCGGATGCTGAATCAGCGGATGACGAAAGTCATGACAGCAACTATATAAGCAGCCTAGATACCATCTCTGATGTCGAAGCAGGAGAAAGAGAAAATGGATCGCCGTCGGATTCATCAGACGCTGTACACGAAGACTCTATACCGACAAACCTAGGTGTTTCCTCTCAATCTCCTGCGGAAGAGCTTGGAGCATTCGAAGGCTTGAAACCCCGGTTTGAAATTGTGCGACAAGGCGTGGATGCTGTTGATTGGATTGCATTTGAGTACTCTCACGATGGGGTCAAAACAGATTATACCCTTCGACACGACATCGAGAAAGTTGACATCGAGAGTTTACCTCATGGATTCAAGATAGACAACTGCATCTATCCTCGGGCCCTGGTTCCAAGAGATCAGTACAAGGGTGATGACCAGGACAATGAGAAGACGTGGAACGCTATTGGCTGGGCGCTGGCTGAACTGAATCCGCCCCTTCAAGGACGCCGGGGAGTACTTCAAGCAGCAGTACGGCTTGCCTTTGACGGGTTGAAGACCAAACTGAAGCCTACTGCTATTCATCGTACGAGACAAACGGCGCGTGGTTATAAGTCTGTGAACTCTTTCAAAAACACGTCCCTTGCAGAAAACTCGCATGATTAGCAATCTGTGAAATTGTCAAATAGCAAAACCAATTTTCTGGGTGGGGTGATGGGCAGAACCTCATGAAGCATTCATGGAGAGACTATCAGGCGTGAGATCAGCTTTTTAGAGGATTGTTTAGGTTCTCCCGTTTGCCGTTGGCTTTTGATAGTGCTTTTCTCTTCATTCATATATCTGCGGATAATGTCCACCCATGTCGTTGCTCTCTCCCCGAATTGTTGAGGTTGATAACGGCCGCTACGATGTACTGCACAGAGAACTTCAATCCTTCCATTGTGGAACAATTCTGTCTTGACAGAATGGATTACCCTAGCTTGCGAAAACCGCTGTCTAACGCATTATCACAAGCGCGGACCATTGCTATCTCATATATGATGCTAATTTGTGGGGGTGACATGTGCTAACAACGATACTAAAGCGCCATGCAACTTCATTTGTAGTCTTCGCGCTACATCCCCAGGAATTTCCACCACTGCGCTATCAATGAGTTGCGTTGTTAGATCCAGGCGTTGCACCGGCAAGTAGAGAGACCATCGTCGCTACAGTCTGAAAGCACGTGTCCAACACGTAGTATCATGACATCCGATTACCCTCATCTCCCACCTACTTCCCGGAGCTTTTACGCATACTTCCTCTCCTTCCTCAGCGGCGCAACATCCCCGTCCGCCCGTCCAATCGCCAACCTCCCGATCTCACCGCCCTCTTCGACATCTCCAAAACGTATTCGCACGTCCTTCAGCAACCGCGATCGATCAGCTGCGTCAAGATATGTCCCCGTCACCGGTAAAGCTACATAAGGATTATCTCTTGTCGCCAGACTAGAGAAGTTCATGAGCACGTCTGGGCCGTGCGGGAGAAAGGTGCGGAGGTAGAACGGCACCAGACTCGCTACGATGAGCACTGTCGACGAGACGATAAGCGCGATAACCCAGCCGAAGTGCGCTTTGAAGACCTCGACGTTACTGCGTCTTGTTCCTGTACTCGGCCATGCTTTTGCTAGAGTTTCCGCGTTGCCTTGATCAAATGAATCCATGCTATGGAAATCATCTTGATCTTGATCGTACCAAGAGACATTTGCATTTGATCGACGGGTGGATGCGTCAAAATTACCCCTGAGCGAGGCTTTGCCGTTCATTGTCGCCCAATATGCATTGACTACCTGACCGAGACGTGGGACAATAGTCTTATAATCCACCACAACGTCCTGCAGATTTACAATGTTTGTGGGGTTTACGTAATAATCCTGTGACATGTGATACATGCTAAGGAAGCTAGAACCGGCGTCGTCGTCATACCCGTAGAACGCGTCAGTTGAGCCATCTTCAATAGCCATATTCACAAGCGCAGATTCCCAAGGTGTGTTCTGGAATCCTACCAGCGGACCCAGTTGGGTATATGCTGGCGGTGGGTGTGCGAGGCGAGAGCGTCGAATACGAACGACAGCACAGGCATCATACGTAGAGCATGCGATTTCAGCTTCCACGTACGTTGTCTGAATCGTACAATCCCAGATGAGTCCCAGTAATGAGTTGCTGACAATGACGAACGCGAAAGGCTCAACTTCATCGGGAGGGATCTCGGCACGGCTCGTGACATTTTCGTTCCAATACACGTACCCCAGCCACCTTGTGGTGTTGAATGTGAACTGGGCGTCCCAATCGTCGGAATCATCGAGGAATCGATCACATTCCAGATGAAAGTACTTCGCCTGGATCGTGGTGGAGTAGTCGATGAACTCCGGTGAATTCATTCCACTTATGGGAACACCAATGAACGAAGAGTAAGATTCCAGAGTGCTGTTTTCTGTACTGTACCAGCCTCCATCCCCGAGAGGGGATGTGCTTTCGTAATGCTCGATCCGAGGTACCTTGACGTGACCCCAGGTATCGCGTTGAGAGCCTTGTGTAGTAGTCTGACTCATGAGGGCAGCGAGGTAAGAGCTGTCCAAGGTGGGCTTGAACAATTCGTAATCAGGCAGCCACAGCCACGGGCTAGGCACGACGTAGAGAAATTCCGCATTTTCAGGAAAGTCTTTTGGCCCGTAGCTTATCTGTCGAAAAGATGCTTGACCGCCCACAGGAGACAGTATCCATATAGCTATGAGACCGACGCCTACATAGCTGATGGCTCGGAGTTGCAACTGTGAGACCACGGTGCTGGTGAGCGAAGAGCTACTAGCAAGTGTGTCCAAAATGCCGATTCGTTCGCCTTTCCCAAGCCTCCAAAGCAAGATTGCAAACGTCGCTCGCCCAACCACAGAGGCAAAGAGTATAGGATAAATTGTCGGGCCCTAGGTCTGATGAACGAATGAACAATCTAACACGCCCGAACTTGTACGAACCCATATTGAAGCTTGTTTGATCCTCCCAGCTGCATCCTGGTGGCGGCTAGTGGGTTTACCGTTGTACCAGATGACGAATAGAGCAAAGGAAAGGAATGCGAGTGAGAGAACCAGTAGGAGAAGATCAACAAGAATCTTCCAGGTGGCACTACCAAAGGATATCTTGACGGGTCGCGGTGATGTTGGCCAGCCGAGAGGGAGTTCAGATTGCTTCTCGAGCAACGGGGCATTCGATAGCTCATAGTTCAAAGCAGTACTAGGTACTCTCTCGCGTGAGCTGCGGAGACGATCGTTTGAGTTGACGGTATCTAGCTCGCAGTGGTGGGGGAGTTCCAGCTGGAGTGCATCGGTACTGATCCGCGACTCATGACGTATTCGTTCCTCGCTGTCGGCGAAACTGAGTTCGATATCAGGGGTGCTGTACTGGTCCTTGTTCTGCTGTGTGGTCGCCATATCCCAGGAGCAAAAACAACAGGGCGATAGTCAACACTTTGCAACTGCAGAAGGTGCATCATGAAAATTAGTTTGTAAATTCGCGGAACGGACTAGACGGCGTTTATGTACGTGCAGCACAACAGTGTTACATAGCAGCGCCACAGCCGCATCTTTTGGCTGACAAGGCTGTATCGAACCTCGGGATGAGTCCCGTTTGGGTGGCATTTTGCGCAGCAAAAGCAATTAGCAACAGCTAGCCGACTTACTTGCAATCTGCGTCGTCTCCAATCAGGATATCAGATGCCCGGAGTAAGTGGAGTGTGTAAACATTTCCAGCGTAGCAACAGTAGCGTTCGATGTAGCCGCCTGTCACAGCCCACCGCCCCACACGATCACGGCTCAGAGATTGCGAGTCAGCCGCCCAAGGCTCGCTACGCAGTACCTGGAAGACTGACTGGGAGGCTTATAAGCTGTGTCTATCCGTGAGACGTTGACATGCGGCTGCGACAGGTCCGTTCGGTTATGAATTGCGCAATTGTATTTGCGACTTGTTGTGGAGTAGGATTCGAGGGTGCATAGTGGCGCTGATGCGGGCCCTGTGCAGGCGCCCGGGTGGCAGCCTGATAATCAGGCCTCCAGACTCCCCGTGCCGCAGCGCCATACAGTGATGCCCTCAGTGACATTTTCAACCGCAGCCTTGCTTAGGATTATGGGCACTATAACGCCAAATCAGCCAATTAGCTAGACTTGCTGAGTAAGGTAGATACAGCTAGTCAGCATCTGCTACTTGACGGTTGAAAACATACTGGGGACACGATAGGTAGTACACGGATTGCGCGACTCAATGCAGACCTCAATATAGATCATAGTCGATGGAGCGACTTAAAAGCCGTCAATAATGTATCAAAATCCCAGAGTTGATGCCAATCTAGCAAAGCGTGAACAGAAGATGTGTTGGAGGTCTTGTCAGGCGCCTCCTCAGCGTACGCGATCACGTGATGCTTGGCAAATGCAATTGCCGAACCCCCGACAATCTAGATCCTTCCATTTTCGCTTCCGCAGCAGCTAAATCGCCGAGCGATGCAAGGCGTCCCGGCGGAAACCTTCATTGTTATACCATCACGACATAATGCTACTGGATTCACGACGACGGACTGCAGACTGCGCTCTCACATCATGTCGCAAAAACATGGTGATCGGTATTGCTCGTAACGTGAAACCTCCTGCCTGGCAAGAGATGGCAGGCTGGTCATGGGCGCGCGATAGGCTCTGTCTGGCCCAATAACGCCACAAGTGCTGTCCACGATATGCAGCCCCCGCGCCTTTCGAAAGGCTTGTACGCGAACTCAGCTGTCTTCAGCTGAGACTTTAGCTCTCCTAGCAGATACATTGTTGACATGTTAGGGTTGACAATGCCTCCATCCTGGCCTTCTTCAACCTCGCTTCCGAATCACTCACGCAATCTTATATCCTGACTGCAGCAACTGGCGGCTAAATTTGGACAACGGATATGTAATATGGCGATCGGATGGCAGCCCCGACTTACGGCGCTACTCTTGTTGTACGGCCTGTGCTGGCTTTGACAAACTCTGATCGCTGACACACGTTATCAGACTACTCTTCCAGGTCATCAACATTGCGAGCGACATAGTGTTCTTCAGGACGAAGATAAACCTATCGCCAACGAATCTCGAAAATGAGCCACTTGAGCAAAACCCTGGGCCACCTCTTGACGCATCATTGATCAGCAAAGCGAAAAGACTTCTTATGAAGGCTGACATAAGTCGAGTTCTCATCCCGCTCCTCTTTACTACACTGAGTGTGGTAATAGTATCTGTGCTTTTCTCTGGCGCAAGCGACACATATCGCGCCACAGAGAATGCATGTAGCACGAAGCCGGATGCCGACATCAGTGGCGTCGGCGTACGCGCCTCTATCTGGGGACAAATTGCAATGCTGATCTTGATCAGTAGCTCGGGTCACCTGCATAAGAAAGAGACAGCAATCAAAGAAGTTGCAGGCGGCCTGATTCTCACACATGTTTCTCTCGCCATCGCCATTATTGTACAGATGTACAAAAAGACATTGACATCCGTCGATGCGGCGATCGGCGCAGTCATCTTGGACGCCCAAAACATCGCTCTACTCATCCCTGTCACTGCCAAACAGACCCTCGCAGCTCGATGGCAGGTGCTCATACTTATACCAGCCCAGATCCTCGGTCTAGTATTCCTGCCAGTGCTGGTGGTCAAGTTCACCAAGGGAGGCTTCGCATCGCAAGACTGCAAGTGTCTTACTATCTTCTGGTGGTCCCGGTTAAGCGATTGTAACGCCTTCTCCGGTAACGAGCTTTCTCTCTTCTGGATCTATTACACGCTTCGTTGGATGATGTGGATCCACTCGTCCTTCCATTCTTTGTACAACGCCGAGTGGTTCCACAGATCTGAGAAAGAAGGGCGCATTCCAATCTTGAACCGCGATGGTACAAAGCCAAAGACGTATTGGGAAAAGGCTATAGCTCTAGCGCGTGAACTGCGGGATTCAAATCGACAAGTAACAAAGGCTACTCTACAGGCTGGCCTGCTGTATAGACAATACTCTGCGACGATATCAGTATCGTATACGGCATACGCTCTATACTCGCTCACGTCTATGGTAGTTGCCGAAGTTACCATTGGAGAGTACAACCTCCAACCAAGCTCCAACGCCAACTCGATCGGTCAGATAATTGCCGTCGTGGTCTCGCTCGCTACTCTCCTTCGAGTCGTTTGGAGCTTCCAGAGCCTCTATAATGACGCCGAGAATAGTTCATTCCCGGACTTCATCTTCTCATTGCTTTCGCGGTCCCCGTCGAGTTGCTGCTTCGGCTCAAATGTAGAAGAGGCGAGCGAAGATCCAGCTCCGATCTTGTCGAGACCAGATGAAGAACAGCCTGGGAGGATATCAGATACCGATAGTGGACATGGTGGCTCAGGAGGATCGCTACCTCCGCAAACCCCCGCACGATCTTCACAATCATCCCATGGAGCGGTTGGCCTAGCTGATCAACATCTTGGGCCCAATCCTAGATCACCTCACCCAAGTAACAGCAGAAATTCCTCCGATAGCACCAACTTGCCAAAGACGCAGCCACATCGGCCTTTGGGACAGAGCGGTCGAGCACAGCGACTTCCACCGAATCGTGCAGTGCCACAGCGAAAACGAACCGACTCTTACGGGCCAGCATACCGATTCGAGTTCCACCAGCCATTCCATCTAGATGCTGTCAAACTGCTCTTTCTGCCTACAGTCACCCAATATCTGCAGGCTCGAAAAGAGTCAAAGGCTACAGTTCCGATCAGCGAGACTATGATTCCGCCGCTAATAACGCCTCCGACACTTGATCAGCCAAGTGCCTGCATACCACCTGAACAGCTACAACAGGACACCGGTAAGGAGGAAGCTTCTCCGCCGCGTCTGGTCGTAGAAGCTTCGACTTCCGCCGATGACGAACACCCCGTCATTACTAGCGCCAAGCCCCCAGTTTCGTTGCACGGCAACAAAATGTCAGAGACGGGCGGCTTCGATTCGACTGATCAGCCACAAAAAGGCCAGGTACTCGCAGAATTACATCCACAATCTGCTATACGACGTGATATGACCCCAGCACCGATCTCAACCCTCCCTGGACCACAGGAATATGAGACAGCCGCTGCTCAAAAGTCCGAAGAGCAACAACCTGCATCCCTGGGATTCCCAATACAGATGCCAGAGGAAGGACGCAAAGGTACACAGTCCGGTGTGCCGCAAGGTGACGTTTCTGAACACACAGAGGAGAATAATCCGGCGCCAGAGTCGCTCTTTGGTCAGGGGCGAGACTTTTTTACCAATCCAGTTCTTCCGACTTTGAATCCCACCAATACAAGCCCGGGGTCAAAGATAGAGCTCCCTGGTATCGCAGACCAGTCAGAAGGAGGCGAAGGACCACAAGAACCGGAGGCTCAGTCTCAGGAGGGTCGCGTATCAATCAGAAGTGTTGATCACATCGACACAGGGCCTGACATGGACGACCCACGGAGGACAGACCAGTCTGCAGATTCCATATACCACAAGAGATTGCAGCTTGAGTCTCCAAAATCTTCGCTCAACGAGGTGGACGAAACTCTGCCAGAAAGGCCGATACCGAGCCGGGCGTCTCATCAATGGAATCGCGTTCTGATGGATTTAGGCATCATCCACCGCAGACAATTACCACATGGCTTGCTCGAGCGCTGGGTTGCTCGAAAGTGGCGCCGCGTAACACAGGAAGCGAGAAGAAGAAAGAAGATTCCTTATGAGCCTGACGTGCGATCCGGATGTCCCGGCATTTCGAGATTATGTAAAAAGGGACCAACTATCTGGGAAGATTATCCCCCATTTAGGACACACTTCAAGACCCATTTAAAAGATCCCTTTTACAAAAGCCGTAACATTATGGCGTGCATATCATGTTTAAGGTCTAATAGATCCACATTTGCCGATCCGGCTTTTTGGGATGTTGAGTCTGATACATCCACATATGCCAAGCTGGTTTTTATGGATGTTGAAGATCTCGTATGGCACATCTGGGACAAACACATGCACAAGGCGGAACGCGACCCATCATCGCCACCGCTAGCGAAAGCAGAGCAGGGCAAAGGGAAATCAGCGGAGGCTTTACAACTCGAAGCTAAACAGCCCATTGATGCTGAAATGGGTGAAGCGGGTGGATTGGAAACCACTATCGACCGCAATGTCTTCTAGCTCCATTCATTATCCTCCAATCTTTCGACTTTACGAGGGAATCTTACCGCGTCTGCTTCAACCCTGTTTCTCGTTATCAGTACTTGCCGTAGCAACCTACAATTCTTGCGCTTGCCTTTCACGCGCACGCAAAAGCTCTGAATACACGGTCTCACGTACATGCGATGTATTCAAACATCTATAAATCCTGACATTCATGTCGTTGCTGTTATCGCACCCCCAAAATAAAAGCCAACACAGCTATCAATACAGCAACGTACACACCCCAAGTTCTCCTCACTACCATACCGCGTGTTTAACAACATACTTATCTTTCCGCACAACCAGCGCTAGCCCAACAATCACCGTAAGCCGCAGAACACCTAATCCCAAACCCGGTTTCGAAGAAAGGGGTATCGCGGAGGATTAGAATCTGCTTGCTCGCATAGTGGAAGTGATCAAGACGATGCATGTCTTTAATTTTCTGCTTGTTAGAAGCATGAATAAAACATAGGTCTAGCGTAGAATGTGGAACTATCACTGACCAAGATTCTCACCTCCATCCGTCATAGAATAGTATCTGCACCGTACAGATACGCACGCGTCGCTGTCTCGCACTACAACAACACCACCAACTCGATCCAGCATGCGTCAGACCCGGACGCATAGCAACGACTGTGCGTGAATCAAGTAAAGTCGGCAGGCCGAAAGACGAAAGACGCCACCACAACACAGAGAAAGAGGTAAACACCTCGCACATCTTCAGATTAAAACTTTATTGCGCAAGGAACAACTCCCGCTTTAAAAAGTTTCCTTCAAACGAAAGCCAGGCTTAGCTACAAACCCCCAATCCCATCACCATCACCATCACCATTACCATCCCTTAGGTAAACAGCCTGCGGTGAAGGATTTTAATCGTACAAAAAATCCAAAATCCAAAATCCAAGTCTGAGGAGTAGCTGGAGGATCATAGGTACTCCCCCCTCTCCAGCCTATCCCTCTCCAGCCTATCCCTCTCCGCCCTATCCCTCTCAACCAACTCATGAAACAACCCCCCAAACATTTGCATCCTCAACCTCTTCAACCTCCTAGCCTTGTCCTTCTTCGACGCACGCTCAGCATACTAGCGCTTCCTCTTCTTCTTCCCCTCATCCTCACTCGCATCAGCCGCAGCCTCCTTATCCTTCTTCGCTGCCTTCTTATCCAGCTCATCCCAGCTCTCACCCTCACTAAACTCATCTTCACTGCCCTCATCTGACATCTCCTCGGAAGCGTTCTCATCAAAGTCCGATTCGTCGGAGGACTCATCCGAGATAGCCAACTCGGACTCACTAACTTCAAACGCCGACTCCTCTTCCTCCTCGCCATCGCCCTCGTCGTCGGTTTCGTTGGAGAGAAAACTCCATCCGCCATCCGCGAAGAACTGGTGGGGGTCCGACGTAACGGTTTTCATGATGGTGGCCCAGTTGAGGTTGAGGGGACCCTCTGTGAACGGGATATCGACGGAGTCGAGCCAGTCTTTGACGGGGTCGAGGGACTCGACGGGGATGGTGTTGATATGCACGGGGGGCCGGTTGTAGTCCTTAAACACAACGACCATGTCGAAGTTCCTCAAACCAAACTGCACACGTTCCAGGTGTACGATTTCGATCTCGGAGAGTGTGAGGCAGGTGAAGGGGGGTTCGGTGAGTTGAACCAAGCAGTCGGTAGTGGGTTGAACGAGGACGGAGGAGCGGGATGGGACACCGTTGAAACCCAACTCGCGGTACGGGATATCGACGCTGACGTTCTCGTTGCGGGCGGCGTCGGCGATCTTCTCGGCGAAGTTTTTGAATTCCTTGTCGAGGGCTGCGCGGCGGCGGCGCTCTTCTTGTTCTTGCTCGAATTCTTCTTCGTCGCCGAACTTGTGGCGCCGCTTGCGGTTGCCTGTTTCGTCGAATTGCATTTCTGTGGCTTCGCGGACGAACTGGACATCCTTGGTCTTCTTTTTGCCCAACATTATTGGGTTCTTGAGGTGGACGTGGATGATGACGATGAGCTCGTGTTGTGAGGGTTGGAAGAAGAGGTGCTTCATGTTGCTGAAGAGGACGTCGATCTTGGCTGTGCCGTTGCCGTGGACGTATCGCAGACCGTTCTGGTGAATCTCGACACTTCCGGGAATGCGCTTACCGTCGAGCGCGGGGCGGATGAAGATGAGGTCGAGCATGTGTGGCTTGCGGGTCTTGAGGGGGATGAGCTTGTCTTGCTCAACGACGTCTTCCATCTGCTTCTTCTCAGTCTCTCGCCGCACAACGTCCTTCTTCAGCTCTGTGATGTCCTTGGTGATCTGGTCGATGCGGTCGACGTCGTGCGACTTGAAGGTCAAACTACGGATGAAGTGTGCGTTGGGGTCTTCAAACGGCTGGTCGTCCTTCCGGCCAACACCTTGACCTGGTGAGAGGAAGTTGATACGGAGAGATGTGAAGTCCGCTTCGGGGGTGTGCGATGCGTTCTTGATGGTGTGAATGTGGAAGGGTACGGGTCGGCCCATGATCGGGAGAAGAACAGTGAGGTTCTTCTTGTCGACTACAATCTCCAAGTTGGCGACGGAGCTGGGGAACTGGTTGTCGCGCTTGTAAGATTCGAATTTCTTAAACTTCTTCTCTTCTGTGCCGTTCAGAGACTTTGCGCCCTCGCTGTACTCGGCAAGACCCTGCTCTTGCTTCTTGGCGTGCAGCTCTCTTTGATGCTGTCGCCGTTGCTCCTCCTTCTCGGCATCTTGGTTTGTTGTTCGCTCGTGGCGTGTGCGGGTCTTGGTGATGTTCGTCTGTGCGATCGCCGGGCGCTCCTTCTTCACCTTGGGCTTAGCCTCCTCCTCTTCGTCGTCGAAGAAGAACGAGACAGCGTCCAGATCTGAGGTGGTGTCCTTGGTGAAGACTGCACAGTCGCCAGCGCTGACACGGACGGTGTCGACCAAGACGAGCGAGTAGTTCTTGCTCTTCTTGTCCTGCGGCTTGCTGTTTTCGAGGTCTGACAAACCAGTCTGAACTACCAAGGTCATGCCGTCTTTCAGGACACGGGTGTTCTTGCCGCTCAGGAGCAGCGAAGAGTCCTTGTTCTCGGTACCGATACCGTAACCGAGGTTCTTGGGGAAGTTCTTCTCCCACTCTGGCTTCTTCGACTTGAGATGCGCGAGCGCCTTGTTGTACACGTCCTTGGCCACAACGCCGTCCTTGATCGACTTGATGACCAGGTCGTGAATCGCCAAGAGCAGCTTGTAGGCCGTCTCCTGCTCCTTGTTGGGACCAACCATGAATGTGCGACCGATCATGGCGCCGTATGTCTGGTAGCGCAGACCGAGGACGGAGATGATGACGCCCGCGTGCAGGTTGTTCTCGTCGGGTTCGGCCGCGAACTTGAGGTCGTACGAGCCGCCACTCTGGATGGTAGGCTGGAGGCACCAGTCCAGCTGCATCGAGTCGAATGTCTTGGACAGCTTCTGCTTCTCAAAGAACTTGGCGTCGTCGATCTTGTTGGAGACTTTGTCGGCGAGGGCGCGGTGGGAGATCTTCTTCTCGGAATCGAGGATGTCGGACATTTCTTCGACGAAGTAGTTGGACATAAGGGCGCTCGAGGCGCGGGCGGCGTCGCGGATGGTTCGCTAAGAGGTCAGTAATGCCAGTGCGGAGTTGCGAGTTCAGACTTACCAGCTCCTTCTCGTCCTTGACGGACAAGGCGGCGTTGGACATGATGGAGGCCAGATCGACCTGGTCCTCGTCCTTGAAGCCAGCCTCGTCAAAGGCAGCCTTCCACTCGTTCGCAAAGGCGTTGTTGGCGTTGTCCTTCTTCAGCACCGCCACCTTCTTGCCCGCCTTCTTCATCGTCTCGAGACATGTCTGGAACTGCTTCTTGTTCTCCTCGGCGTCCTTGCCGCGGACGAGAATCTCAACCGGCACCTTGCCACCTTTGAGCGGTTCGAGGTAGGAAGCTGTCCTCATTAGTGAATGTGCTTAGACTCAAGCAGTGGCCGCAGACTCACCCTTCTTCTTGGTGGTGACAATCTGGAGGAGGTCGGGGGTCAGGATGAAGAGCGTCGCGGGAAACTCGTAGCCTAGCAGCCATAGCTGGGTCTCATCAGCTCACTGTCCATTCATCACATGTCGATATGCTCAATCTTACCTGGAAGGCTGCGGGCTTCAAATAGATGCCCGGCTCGCTCGCCTTGCCCACAAGAGTCGCGATAGAGCTTGCGCCCTGGAAAACTGCGTCGCCGGAGCGCTTGTCGGCCTTCCACTTGGTGACGAGGGCGTTGAGGCGCTCGTGGAATAGCGCCTTGTCGATGACAATGTCGTTCTCCGCCATGGTTGAGGATGCGCTGAAGATATCCTCCAGGCGGTTTGGCGTAGCTGCGAGGGAGAAGGTGGGAGAGAGAAGGCAGCGATGAGAAAGTCGCGAAAGGATGATGCGACGCGAGGTACGCGCTGGGGGGCCGTGCGCCTCTCAACTCCACAATCATACTAGCGCCAACTTCACCTAGCAAAGTTCCCTACAGCTGGCCTGGGCATTGATAAACCCCACATCTTCCTAGGCAACACTTTTCAACGTCACGTTTTCTTCTTGTAAATACTTTGATCATCTTTTGTTGTTGTAGACTCCAACATTCTGATCACGCCAAAGTCATTCCCATCTTGTGACCCTCCCACGCGGCTGCCTCATCCTCCTCAAAACCATCAAAACCCCTCTCATGCATCCGCAAAACACACCCACCACCAACACTATGCGATGACGACCGGCTCCAGTCCTCGCGCTGGAGTCTCTCTCCGAAGCGATGCCTCCAATGACACCACGACAACTACGCCCGATGCCCCGCAAGCCCCCAACAAGGCACCAGCGACGGGTGTGCAGGCCGCTGGTATGCGAGCCGTGGCTGCGAGGATGGTCGCTTTCTACTTCCGAGCACCCGTGAAAGCTTTCTTCAGGGGGAGAATAGACTATATGAGCTATGCGAGGGCGATAAATCCACATATTGTTGCGGATGCGAAGTGGTCGTGGAGGATGACTACGCCGGCCGTATTGGCGCATGCTATACGGACTGAGGGATGGGGGTTTATCCCGAAGCAGGTGCTGCCACCGCTGATGGCAAATACTTGGTGGGTGACCCCTCTCCTACCAGCACACCTATACTAACACCCCCCAGTATCGGCGCCGTCCTCTACACAGCCTACCTGCACTCCCTCTCCGCCCTCCACGAACCCTCGTCCTACCAGACCAAACGCGTCTACCCGCCCCCTCCCCCCTCCATAACCTTCACCGCAGGCTTTATCGGCGGCTCATGCCAATCCGTCATCGCGGCCCCCTTCGACGCCCTGCAAACCCGTTTCCGCACCGCCGACATCCTCGAAGGCCGCCACAAGACAATGTGGCACTACGCCGGACACAAACTTCGCTCCATCGGCGTCCAAGGCATCTTCGCGGGGTGGTCTCTCTCCTTCATGAAAGACGCATTCGGCGCCGCCGTCTTCTTCGGCACCTTCGAAACAGTGAAGAGCCAAGCTTACCTCGAATTCGTGAGCCGCTACTACGGAAGTCGAACGCGCGACACTCTCCTCGAGAAATCCATCCCCTACCTCCAAGAAGACCACGACGACCGCCCCGTTATCCGCCCGCATTACATGCTCGAACCCATGTTCCTCCTCCTCGCCGGCGTCTCCGCATCCATCACCTCCCAACTCATCCAGCACCCCTTGACCGAAATCCAGGACGTACACTACCGACGCCTCGAAGCCCTGGACTTCCAGGCCCACCAAGACAACAAGCCAAGTCATATCGTCCGACGCTACTACCACGCCTATGAAGAAACGTTTGCTCAGTGCAAGGTTCTAGCCAAGAGGGTCGGCGGCTGGAGGAAATATCTTTACAGAGACTTCTTTATGAGCACGATCAAGCAGGTGCCGAGTACGGCGGCGGGGCTTATTGTGTTTGAGATTGTGAGGCGGAAGTATAGTTTTGAGAATGAGGAGGTTATGATTATGCATGAGGATGCGAGGATTTTGCTTACTTGAAGAGGTGGGTAGTGTACGGTGGGGGAAGCAAGAGACAGAGTCAACAGCTCGTGTCAATCGGAGCTCAGATGCTTGGGTGGGGTGTACGCGATATGGTGGTCGTACCTCCTATGTGGGACAAGACGAGTGACCTCAGATCATCTTAGAGGAAACTTGCCTTGTCTTACATAGGAGATTCCACCACCATATCGCGTACATGTCATCTAAACTTCCAGGTGGGTACCTAGCAAAACGGTTCGAGGAGGGAGCGAAAGATGTAATCTCCACCACCGCCCTTCCGCCTCCCCGCCGCCTCCCCCTTCCACCCTGGTGGAGGAGGTGTCGTTTCTCCCTCCCTTCTTCCATCCCTCCCTCTTTTGTCTTGGTAGATTCTACGCCAGACTATCATTCCTTCGCCCAACGCTCATCCTCAGCTTGAGCATATACGCCCGTTCGTTCAATACGTTCTCGGATATAAGGGGGGGTTTTGAAGTGAATTATCTACTTCAAAACCTCCCGTTACTTCTGAGGGAGTATGGGACTACTGGTAACTGGTGGATTCACTTGGGCTGGGTAGGAGAGTCGGGGTACGAGATTGGAGTGAGAGGACAGATGACAGAGGTAACAGAAGCAACCGTTGCCGTCGCTTCCAACACTGCTGCTTAGCTTGAGTAGTAGATCCGGTCGTTTGTTCCATACGTTCTCAGAAGTGACGGGGAGTGTTCTAAGTGAATGATCCACTTGAACACTTCCTGTCACTTCTGAGTGAGTATGGGGGAACTGGCGGATTTACTCGGGCTGAGGGGTAGAGTTAGGGGGAGAGCTTGTTGGCGAGACTAACAATCGGCGTCGTTTTCAACACTGCTACTTAGCATGAGTAGATACAGTCGTTTTTTGCTTTTGTTCCGAGAATGTGAGCAACAAACGACTGCATCTATTAGGGCTGATTAGGAGCGTTGGTGTAAGGGCTGGCTGATAGGAAAGGGAAGGATAGGGCAATTTCGCTTGAGAGGGGAGGGGTGTTGTTCGGAGTCGAGGGCAGTTTGCATATGATACCCAGTTATAGATTAATCACAGTCATAGACTTTGCATATACGTATATGATAACACAACTTGTATCGCATCAAAAGACTATCGCCATGAAGTGGCATCTTACGGACTAGATATCGGCACTCCAGCCTGTTTAGCCTCGCACAAATCATAAGTTCCAACCCAACGCTCCCGACTCACCCACCTAGTCTCACCCACCCAGCCTAGCCAACCGTTCAACTCTCTCCCTCTCCCTCTCCGCTTTCTCCCATGTCCTCTGCGCTTCCTCGGCTCGTTCTACTAACCTCCTTCCTATACCCAGCATCTCTAAACTGAGGATGTACCACACGAACTTCCGGCCGAGATGCCATTCCCCGTGGAGGAATTGGAGGTGGTTTAGAAAATATCTGGATAGCGGTGGGATAGGTCAGCATTTGGTGAAAGGATGGGAGGAAGGGGGGTATGAAGGGAGATCGAAGGAGGGAGGGATGGCGAAGAAGGAGGACGGAGAGGCCAGGAACGCATGAACTTACTGCCAAAAAATCCCCCCAATAACCATCCAACACACAACCCCCAACTTCACGTTCTGCCTGTCACTCAGGATGTTCCACGCTTTACTCTTCAGTAGGTGTTCGCTAGCTCCTGATGTCTCATTGCGAGGGGGAAGAGTGCGCCAACACCCCACCCCCACAGTCACCGGCACCGCCGTCGTAACCCCATTCTCCGCCGTTAACGTCGATGTGGAAATCTGTGGACAGTCTGGGTCCCAGATTATGGGTTGTGTTGGCATGGGCGCTACTCCCGTTGGAATAGGAGGGGATGCAGCAAGTGGTGTGGGAAGCGGTGCGGCGTTTGGGCTGGTGGAGGGGAAGGCGAAGGATACGCCTGATGCGAGGGAGGGGATTGTTGTTTTGGATTTGTGGGAGGATTTGGATTTAGATTTGGAAGTCGTGGTAGATTCCTCGTCGGCATCGCCATCTGCTTCAGACGTCGCGTGTTTAGTGGACTTGGGCTTGTGAGATGTGCTTGTGATGGTGTCATCAGCGGAAGTATCGACTTGGGACTCTTCGTCGTTGTTCTCAGCAGGTCCTTCGTCGTCAGCAGGCGGGGTGTCATCGGTTGCTTTGGAAGTGGACGTAGCTTCCTCGTCATCGTCTGCATGTTTTGTCTTTGAAGACGTTGCCTTTTGCTTGACATCTTTGGATGAAGTGAAAGTTGGTGTAGCTTCGTCGTCATCTTCTACCGGTTTCATCTTGGTGGATGTCGACTTTTCTTCGACGTCTTCAACCACTGTTGCAGTGGGTTTGGTGTCATCACCCGTACCTGTAGGTTTCTTCTTGGTGGATGTGACCTTCTCCTCGCCATCCGTAGATGTGTCGGGGGTAGGCGCACTGTCATCTTCCTCGTCTACCGCAGTCTTGGTATGTGACGCCTTGCTCTTCGTAGACGTAGGCGTCTCGTCATCTCCAGCCGCCCCTTCACCAATGTCGCCTTCTTCGTCAGGTACCGTCTCCTCATCAGCCGGTAGCTCTTCCTCCTCTTCCTCGCCCCCATCCTTCGCATTGGTTCCTTCATCATCCTCATCTTTATCCTCCTGCTTATGCGCAAACTTCGTAGCAATAGCCGTCTCCTCTTCCACTCCATCAGTACCGGAACTAACCCTCGTAGGCCCATCATCTTCTACATCGATATTGAAAAACCCCTCGTCTTCCTGCTCAGGCTCTTGACCAGGCCCACTGAAGCTTCTCGAATGAATGACTTTGGTAGTAGTCGTGGGGTACCACATGCGCCAGAGTAGTGAAGGTGGTTTCAGTCTACCGATCGCCGCGTTACTCGACGCCGTAGTAGAAGCTATAGCAGTAGAGACTGCACCCTTCCAGCTATAGTCGGAGGTATATGTCATGCTGTTATCTGTCGAGTGACGATTAGTTTCAGCTCCGAAACCTATCAAGGCCGGCGTTGGCGCTATGAGTATTCCACGTCGCAAAGCCCCGTTCGCAGAGTCGGTGGTCTTTATCGAAGCCTGATCAGTACTACCTGCAACTGAGACTAGATCTGGAGCAGTCTCCACAAAGCTCTTTATGTACGAGTAAAACGAGTTTATGCTTGGTTCAGTAAAAGGTTCGTCTGTAGTTGTGCTAACAGGAACAGCGGCGGGTGTGGCCTTGGGCGTGGTGGATGTGTCTAGGTCAGCAGGGTTTGCAGGGTCTACAGCTGGACCCCGATACTCCTGGACCGATGTTGCAGATTCGGGGATTTCCTCAGTCTCAGTAGCCTCGGAAATCTTTGACTTTACCTTGGTCGAAGGTGAGCCGCTATCTTCGGCCTCAGAAGGGTCAGCGTTTGCAGCTTTTGATACCGTTGGTGTGCCTGAAGCTTCGATCGTCTTCGACAAATCTTCGTCGGCTCCGCTTGCTGTAGATTTGGTCATGTGCTTGCTGGACACGTCGGTTGCCGATTCCGAAGTATCCAAGTCACTTTCCGAAGCCGTTACAGACGTGGACTTGTGCTTTGAAGAATTTGTTGCCTCGGATCCACTGCTGCTGTCGTCCGCTTTTGATGTCTTAGACACGGTCATATCTGTACCTTCATCATTGGTAGCAGACCCTGACTCGGAGGCCGTTGCATCCGCAGGTACATATTTTGTGGACTTCGAAGTCTCTATCTCATGAGTAATATCAAAGGTGTTCAAAGATGTGGTCTTGCCGGTCGAGGTCGCGGATGTTGCTGAAGCCGAGTCATCAGTGTCAGTCTCAGAAGCGGTGACCACCGTAGACGCGTGCTTAGATGACTTCGACACACTCTCCGACGTTGTCTCGCTGGGTGTGACCTTCGACGTCGTGCCTTCCGATGCTGAGGCTGTTGCTGTTGCGCTCCCAGGAACTTTGCCGCTCATTGGACTGTCGACACCCTCCGCGTTCTTGAAATGGAGGCAGAAGCTATCAGCCGCTTCTTGGTGCACAGGTATAGCCACGACCTTTGTGGAATTCCGAACAGCCACTTGTAATTCTCCTTTTGGCCCGCCCTCCGAGTCCAGCTCTACCTCGCTTTTGCAGAACGCAGAGGCTGTGCTGTTGGACATGAAGACTGAAATGTAGCCTTCAGATGCGAGATCGATCTTGATGTGGTATAGGTCGGTGTTTCTCTTATTGACGATGGTCGATCCGGGATGAAGAGTCTCGTCGCGTTTGGTGTCGTCGTCGAAATGTACGAATCCGACTTGCCTCGCGTTAAAACTCACAGGTACGCCAGTAACAGGTAGTTGGGTAATCGTAGGCGCCTGTCCACTTGCTCCCCTCGGCCAAAGGAATGCTGTTGCCATGGACGACGCGGTGTCCCCGTTCATAGCCTCGAAGTCCTCGTCAGAGATAGATGCAGAGGCGTCAGACACCAAGCTTCCGCTCCTAACATTGTGGTTCTTGAAGCTTGTAGACAGTCTCCGCACTTCCGTGTGGTAGATCGTCTTGGTTATGGTAGGTGTCGCACGATCACTGCGTTTGATAGGAGCTGCTAGAGCGAAATCGAAAGCAAGAGCATGGGTGCTCAGCGACAAGGTCAGTATGCTGACAAGGAGTTTCATATTGATGCCGCGCTGCGGTAGTATGCAGAAAGAACAGAAAAAGAGGAAACACATATGAAATTAGTGCACCAAGTTCGGTAGTGATGCATTGTCATTGACGAGCATGAGCTCTGGTGATGTGTACTTATCTTGAAGCACGCGGCCCCCTGGAATGAAGTTAATGGAACGAACCAAGTGAACAAAGACAGCTGTGAAGATATAGGGCAGTATCGCGCGAATGATGGCGGTACTATTCACCGCCCATGTCAAGCGCATACTTCGTATGCTGGTGAAATGTCAATGCGGCGTAAAGTGCAAGCTCGTCACAGTAACAATGGCGTGCTTCGCAGTAGTAGCCAGAATGCATCACGCATAATCTCTGGGTTCGAAGTAGCGCGTGATTCAGTGTTGACTCCCATGACGTGATTCGAAGGTTCTGCGCGTTGAACAGATGGTGCAGGATGGAGTGACGAAGAAGCCGCGCGCCCAAGCCGAGCAGCTCTGCTTAGTAAGCTAGCACGGCACATTCCGAGGTCACGCATCGTTATCCGAACATCAACCACTATTTCCGACTTCCAAGCACCACCATTGAGCCGCGCATTTCCTCCGCGCAATGAAAACCAACATGATTCGGTGTCGCCGGCAACGTAGCAGCTCTAATTGAGCTTTTCCGATGAATATCTGTAAGCAGTATAAATTGACTCAGGCACCAATGAACCCCTCAGTTCATTCCGACACAAGTGCCGAGATAGCTACCTGCGGTACGCGGTGATGCATCATATAGCCACAGCGCCATGCTCCTCCAACGACTCTCTCCATCCCGCCATCTTCAATTTTTGACCCGTCCTTCTTCATACTTATCTAGACGCACCATGGCTTCCCTCCCCATCAAGCTCGCCGTCCTCGATGACTACCATAACATAGCAGCCCAGCACTTCGCCCATATCGCCTCTTCAAAAGTCGAGACAACCGTCTTCACCGACACCCTACCGTCATACGCGCACCCGAAGACATCAGATGCCGACCGCAAAGCACTCGTCGACCGCCTTAAACCCTTCTCCGCTCTCTCCACTATGCGCGAACGCACCCCGTTTCCGGGCGAATTGCTCCGCCAATTGCCGAACCTCAAAGTCGTATTTGCGACGGGCGGTAACTTTCAGAGTTGGGATTTGGATACAATGAAGGATATGGGCATTACGGTGTGCGCCGCGCCTGGCAAGGGCAGGACGGATGGGAAGGGTAGTGGTACGTCTCCGCGATCACTGCCGGTTAAGCAGGGGGGTGGGCATCCGACGACACAACATGCTTGGGCGCTTATACTGGGGCTTGCGCGGAACGTTGCTGCGGACGATGCTGTGGTTAAGGGCAAGGGTGTGCCGGCTGGATGGCAGACGGAGCTCGCGACGGGGTTGCAGGGGAAAACATTAGGCTTAGTTGGCCTAGGAAGAATCGGAGCACATGTCGCAAGAGTTGGCGTTCTCGCTTTCGGCATGAAAGTTGTGTGCTGGAGCGCGAACCTGACGCAAGAGAAGGCTGATAAGTTGGCTGAAGAGTGCGGGCTGCCTGTGACAGGCGGTGGCATGACCGACGCAAACGAGAAGACATTCAAGGTCGTCACCAAAGAGCAACTCTTCACATCTTCCGATGTAGTGAGTCTGCACTACGTCCTCAGCGAACGCTCACGCGGTATCGTCGGCGCACAGGAGCTGGGGTGGATGAAACCAACCGGCCTCCTGATCAACACTTCGCGAGGCCCGCTTGTTGACGAAGCTGCATTACTGGACACACTCAGACATGGGCGCATTCGTGGCGCTGCTATCGACGTGTTTGACATCGAACCTCTTCCTGCCGACAGCCCATGGCGTAGCGAAGACTGGGATGTCAAAGGCAAGAGCAGGGTGTTACTCACGCCACACATGGGGTATGTTGAAGAAGGCACCTTAATCACTTGGTATGAAGAGACGGCGGAGAATCTGGAGAGGCTGATAGAAGGCAAGGAGTTGTTACACCGACTCATTTGATTCCAATAACAGATTTTACCTAGCACATGACAGGCTCACGCCAACTCAACATACTCTCGCTCCCCAAAATCACGATAATACCCAAATCCACTGTGCGTCTCCACCAGCAGCAGTGGCTTCAACCACTCCGGCACTTCCGGCGCTACACCATCCTTGTGATAATACACCGCCATCACGTGATTTCTACTCGGTGTAGTCCCTCCCCAGTCGAAACCCAGCGTATCCACAATCCTGCGGATCGCCGTATGCAGTGCAGAGTATAGACAATCCTTTCGCTCGTCGTCACTGTCCCATGGGCATGTGCTTGTGTCGTAGAGGAGCTGCTCTGCGCGGTCGTAGGTTGAAGGGGCCTGCTCTTCGGAGAGTTTGGTAAAGTCCCAGATAGTGCAGAGGGAGGCAAGGTCTGGCTCTGAGATGGGGATGCGTCTTGGGTGCGGCGGCGGAGGGGATCTGATGCGACGGCGAGTGCCGTCGGGAAGTGTTTCAAATCTTGGTCGGCGGCGTCTGGCTGTTCGGGTTGTTTGGGGTGGAGTTGGAGTCGTCATGGTGGTCGTCTTTGGTCGGCGGCGTCTGGAAGTTCGGGTTGAAGGAGGGGTTGGAGTTGGACTTGTCATGGTGACCGTCTTATTGAGTGGGAATGAATGGGGTTTTGTGGGAAATTGAGTTACGTGGTGGTGTGAGGTACGCTGAGGTCTATTTGAGCTTATAGCGTTCTATGCGCAGCACCGGCTTTATATACTCATGACTGTGCGATAGTAATTTGGGTCGGATAAGTGGGTCGGCATGTGACCCTCGGTTCCGCTGTGACGCATGATGAGAAACGGGCCAATCTCAGCTTCTGGGTTGCGGATAACAGTCTGAGAACCTTGGAAGGTTGGTGGAAGGGAAAGAGCTATTGCATCGATTGATCTAACCCAGTTGGAGTTCTAGTGGAATTCCCTGTCTCTCGTCTTCCGTCAGGTCTATGTCGAAGATTTCCTTCAAAGCGGCGATGCGCTCCTCCTCTGTTGCACAGTCTTGTACGATCTTGCGGTCAAGGCCAATGCTCTGTTTGATGCCGCCTTCAAAAAGCGTTACACTCCCAACAATCGTCTCTCTGGTATCGTCCATGAGCATTTTGGTACTGGTGACATATTTGGTGAAGAAGGATGTCGGATTCGTAGATGTGAACCACGACATGATCTCGTAATCCTGAGGAAGGAACTCCGTCTCCGTAAAGCAATAAACCGGCGTCCACTTATCGTCACCCTCGTCGCTCGGGTTATAGCAAACGTCGTAACACCACATTTCGTTGGAGTGGGTTCCGTACGACTCTGCAATAGCGCGTCGTTGGACGCGGATGAGTCGGGGAGCAATGCTCGTCGTTTCGAATCCATCTTGCAAGGGATACGGGATATTGGGGCCCATGGCCCCCATGCCAACGTCTGCCACGTACCAGCCCGCATCGAATCCCACGAGATTCAGCATGTGATTCCATCCATCGTATGTGGACGCTTGCTGTCGACGAACATCTGGGTAAGGGCTCATTGCTCGCGACACGCGGCCTCCACAGTTGCGCACATGGAATCCCAGGGAGCGGAGAACGGTGGCGAAGAAGGTGTTGTTTTCCATGCAGCGACCACCGCGTCGCTGCTTGACTATCTTGGCATACAGATCCCGTATGTTGAGTGTGACGGTCTTGTGCGCGGAATAATGTAGCTCAAGATTCTCAAAGGGAACGTTGCAGGTGTGATGTCTCATCATAGCCTGCAGAAACGGAAGGCCATGCTCTTTGGTAGTGGCTAGCGTCTTGTCTGACAGTACAGGCGTATCCATATATTTCTGGGGAAGGCTAATGCGCTGGAAGTAGTCTTGTAGTTCGGAAGCACTGTATCGTGGCTGCTCGTCACCTAGTGGCAGCTGGGTCAGACGAGAGGGCACTGAAGTGTCTGGCATATTGTAGAGGGCCGTGGGTTGACCAAGAATGGCGAGTGTTGGCTTGGGTTGGAGTAAAATGCCAGCAGTGAATTCAGGCGCCTGTCATTTGACCAATTTCGTAACCAGAAGCCGGAGATGCACCCTGAGCGTAGATTCTAGTCGCAGAGTCCAGCACGTCCATTATCAACTGTTCGCGCTATGGGTCTTGCCCCGCACTTACTGCTGGGCTTTTTACCGGGCTAGCGCATTGCGGAACAAGCGGGTTCGACGCGGCTACGCCAGGTCCACATTCTCACATGACAAGCGACATTGGACATGTGTTGGTGTCGCATTGTGCATCCGGTACGCAGAAACTGTCCCTCTTCTAAATGACGGGTGGGGTAAATTTGTGTGTACCCCCAGGTAGCCGGATCCGTGGGGTAACTGCCGATGTCGAACCTTACTAATAAGCATTCGATAGGTAGCGATAACGTTTTCTGAGTTTTCATAGAACACATCCCATATCCTTTATAGCTCGACGTCCGGCTTTTGCATTCTCGACAAGGCTTCGTCTACGTCGCCCTGCACGTCGTGAAACCAAAGCCAATCAAACCGACCTTGCTGAAGGCGAGGCAAGATCTTGCCCATATCGTCCCCTGCTTCTTCGTGCTGGAAGAAGAGCATACGGGCAACCTCAGCCGCCTGCTCCAGTTGCTTCTGGGCGCGAGGCCTTCGTACTGAGTCGTACGCGCTGAGACCAGCAACGACGTTTGCGTCGCTATCTGCTTCTTTTGTCGATGATTTGACAAACTCTGACAATATATTCGAAAGGACCAGAGCGTCCTCGACGCCTTGAGCAGCGCCCGCTGCCTGAAATGGCAATGACGCATGTGCGCTATCACCTAGAAGAGCCACACGGCCTCGGTAATATGTCGAAGTCCTCAAGTGGTGGAAGAAGCCCCATCGGATTGGATTTGCCTTGGCCAAAAGTTTGCGGAAGCGGTCGTCGACGCCTGGTCCTTCGAAATCGGCCATCATGGCTTCGTGTGAGACTTTCTCTGTCACAGCTTTGTCTTGGTCCCAGCCTTGCTCATCTGTGACGCACAAAAGGTAGTTGAACTCCTGCAAGAAATAGCGATAAGTACGAGGACATTGCTTTGGTCTTGGCAATGGGTACGGACTTACCTTTCCCTCTGATATACGGTAGGTTACTGCGCTACGCTTATGGCCAAAGTAAAATTTGGCAACGTCGGTCAAATCTCCCAGAATAGCTTCGGCATCAGCCATTGGGATGACAGCACGGTAGCAATACGCATCAGCGTAGACAGGCGCTACTTGCTCGGGAAATTGCGGTTTCAGGACATGCTCTCGGACTGTGCTCTTGATGCCATCAGCGCCAGCAAGAATGCTTGCTTCTGCGACTTCTCCATCGGCAAAGGCAAGGACAAGTTTGGATGGCAGCTGTTCAATGTTGACGAGGCGCTTGTTAAACTTGACATTTTGGCGTGGAATGAAGCTGGTCATGATATCAAGCAGCGTCTTGCGATGCGCCTAGTGCCAATTAGCAATACCCGTGGCAATGGGAATAAGGTGGAGTACATACAGACTTGCGCTCGAAATCAGGATGGCCCCACGCCGATTTGCCGTACCAAGCTTGGTCTTTGCCTGTGATAGCAGGTCAGCAATAGGCTCAGCGAGAAGAAATGTGGCACAGAAAAGATCCATACCCAAACCCTCACTAAGAAGCATGCCCTCAAAAAAGATGTCTTGTTTATCAGCACCCTTGTTCCCCACGCAAATCCTCTCGTACAAGGGACGGAATCCAGGCTCAATCAGATCCATGGCTCGCATCCCGTTTGGCGCAAAACCGATACCAGCACTTTGGTCATGTAAGCAAAGGAAGCCTGGGTGGAGAGCATGGTGATGAGAACGTACCCTACAGCTGAAAACTCCTTGGCGTCCTCGTAGAGGGTGAAGGGAACAGATTTCTTGTGCAGCGCCATGGCCAGGGCGAGGCCACCGATGCCCGCGCCTGGATGGCCTGTTAGTGATATGGGATAGGAGATGGGTTGGTGTGCGGATATGCATACCGATAATGGCGACGCGAAAGTCGCTGTTCATTTTTCCGACTATGGTCAACAAGATGGTGTTTGTGCTACGACGTTGGCGCAACGATGACGCACAATTGTGGACAGCGACGGACAGGCGATGCAAGGATGCAGTAGGTAGGCCGCTGGGTGTATCGAGGAGTTCATCACTTGGGCGGTGTTGTGATGCGTGGTTGCCGCGTTGGCTCGAGGCGTGACTAAATGGCGTGCCGCGTTTACCCCGGGTTATCTGGCACTAGGAAGGCGCTACCTCGCCCCGGACGGGAATAACCGGACACGTGATATCCCGACTGTGGACCATAACGCGGCATGTTCAGACGCTCACTACCGTGCCATCTCTCTCACCACCACTATGGCCAGGCCGGATTCGGGGTCACCTGCAGACATGGCCGCATCGACTAACAAACGCCGGCGCATTGCTCTCGCATGCAACGCATGCCGTGTACGCAGGTCGAGGTGCGATGGACGGCGCCCCTCATGCTCGTCCTTCTTTCGACGTCTTTCATTTGTGAGTTTCTTCATGTATGGATCTCGTTGGGGTCGCAAAGGTTGTGACTGGCTCGTTATCTCTATGCGTCATAGCACAACCAGGGTAGCGTGACGCGCTAGAATCGTACCCGACCATGGAGACCTTCCACCCAGCAGATTTTCTTGTATATATAGCGAGCCCCATACAAAATTGAAACTCGCGGATTACAACAGCACTTCAGATCAACTTACCAACCAAAATTGAACACCCGCCTTCTCTTGTGTCGCTTCCACAAAGAACCAGCACGTCGACTCCAACGCAAAGCAGCACCGGCGTCACGCCTCCTCGACCAACACACCACATCCGAGCGGACGGTACTCGCGGGCGCCGAATTCACTACCCACCACCACCGCGCCCGACGCCTAAATCACCATCGTACGCCCAGATCAAAGAACTCTGCGCCATCTGGAAGTTCGAAGACTGGAGGGACCTGCCCGCCGAGCACTTCGACCGTGCCGAAACATACTTCTATGACACCAGCACCGGACCTTGGCATAGCGAGGCCAGCCGGAGGTGGCTCTTACATTGCACCCTGTTGACGGCAATTGAAAATATCATTGCCGCGCTGGGATTCCCAAGTATGGGCACTGCCTTCGGGACGAAGTACATATACACGGCGCACTACACGAATGACGATAAGATTCCGGTGCTGCCGGAGTGGCTCCACGAAATCGCGATGGTCGAAAAAAGTTCTCTGGACGGTTATACACCAGAGTGAAGCAGGGAAATGGCAGGACGACTACATCGGATCAGCTGCCTGAAGAAATCGCGATCACGATGCATTCTGGAGACCACATCGCATCCGCGGAGCGAGAAAGTCGTGATCATCAGAAACTCTAACAACTACATGACTGATGATATGTCACGCATTGGCGCAATATTTGCGTAGTTAACGGATACAATTCATCCAAACGATTCTCTCGGTCACTATCTAGCTACCTGAAGTGCGCAAACGTCCTCTTTCCATACCCACTGTTTTCGTCTGCAAACTCAAGTTGCAGCCCAAGCAGATGCGCTTCGACTAAGTAACTATCCAACGACAGAGTGCGACTCTGGGGGTTTCCCAAGATGGATTCCCAAGGGAATTTTGATGGACTTGTCCATCGAGTACAGCAAGTTTGCAGTCCCCGATACTCGTGTTATGGCGCAGCACAACTGGCTTTGTCTTGTCGTCCCAAGCCAATGCGCCGAAAACATCGTCAACCGGGGAATCGTCCGGTGTCAACAAGCCTTGTTCTTTCTCCCGTTTGTTGGGGCTTGCGAGCGGTGATCTTGGTGCGGCATTGCGCTTGGTGGGAGATTCAGAGGTCATTGTGTTTATAAAGGGCTTGCAGCAGTACTTTGAAGGCTGTTCGAAAAAGGGTAGAACGGAGTCTTGAAGTTCGCGCGCATGGTAGATCCCGCGTGTCGGCACTTAGTGTCGGTGTGAGGTGACATGTCTGTGTGGTGTGCGCAAGGTCTTTGGATATTGGATATCGGAGTTGCTCGGTAGTGTTTAGAGCTGGAGGGACACCGTTAGTAGAATGCGGCAACGATGAGCCGTGGAGACTAGACCAGGTGCAATTGCCTCCGTCTTTCAGAACCTTTTGGCGTATACAATGAAGCCACGGAGTGTCCACCCATACCGCATATGGATGCGGAAAGGTTACAATAGCCGTACACTGATGGATCTTGGCCTCGACATCTTGTAGTATTCCTCAAAGAGGGGTGTTACCGAGTACTGGTTTAAAGCATACGTCCATGTCGTAGTCTTTGATGGTGCGTGAGTTTGTATCTCAAGGGAGTTTCCACTCCAGTTTCGTTAGGCGACCCATGGTAAGCCCGGTGGAAGCACCATCTTTGTGTACAAAGATGCTTTGTTCACGGTGTATGACATCTGTTATTGCCTTATATCGTGTGTTGTTGAAGTTGAAGAGAGGCTCCTCGAGATTGTCTGTGTCGATGAAGGTTTGGTAGTGATGCATCGTTGTTCGATGCATAACCGAACACATTCTGTCGGCATCCTTCATATTCAGTTTCATTATGCCGACTTCTGCCGACAGGGGATCATTTTGATCGGGATTTTTTAAGGCCACTCGCGACCCTTCGATCTGCTCTCCAGTCACTCGATGGGTGACGAAGAGGTCGTCAACCCTTGCCAGGACATGACCGGCCGTTATGCCGTACGGCTGGTCGCCAAATTCAGTTGGATCGATCATAATGACGCCCAATGTTCCAAACTCGGATTCTACTCCCCTCTGGTCGGTGATAGTATCACTAGGGTGAAGGCGGAAGACCGTAAGTTAATTGACGTCTGGCGCATACGATACGCGTTCTGTCGTTATCATTAATGTACGGAAGACAAGGTAGCCGCCTGGGGGTCTCGAAGCGTGGAGAGGATGCCGTACTCGGTGCCTTTTCCCGCTTGATCGGTTATACGATCTCCCAGCCAGATCAGGTCTGTAGTGGGCTCGTTCTTTGCCCCGTTGGCTTGTAGAATATAGCCAGGGTCAAGGCCCTGTACGGGGTCGAGGAAGGGAATTCCCAGCCACGATGGCAATGGAGGCACCGGCTCGCCTCGTTCTGCCGAGATCTGCAGCTTGTTTGCCGATCGGGTGGCAGTTGTGTATCTAAGTTAGGAACGTCAATACAGGAAAACATTGATGAAGCCACAATGTCTAATAGTTACCCATAGAAGGATATGGTTTGTAGAAGGCGGTAAAACATCATGTGCGATGTGATGTATTTGCATTGGTCTTGCGACCGCTCTTGTTCCTTGTGAAATCGACCTCTGGTGAAGATCAATTTGGCAGGGATGGCGACGACGGTGGCCGCTTGGTCTTCCTACGACTTCGAGAAATTCCATTGCGCTATCGCAAGCTTAAAGTCTCCGATGCTCATGTTATGGCGCGGGAGTCGCCGTTGTGTTTCTGGACCAGAAATATTAACAAGAAGGGACACTGAGTCAGGTACCTTCGCTGGTGCGTACCCGAAGTAAGACACCTGGGTTCTGTTTGAAGGAGGCGGTAGAATAAAACGTGTGTGTGTGATGAGGTAACGGTGGGCTGCGATACCCACGTCGTCTCTTGTTACGGTGTTTGTTGATTGACATCGGCCAGAACGTGTCGGTGGTGCGATGTAGAAGGTGGCGTGAGAAAAGGAGGTCACATTCAACATCAACATGGCAAGAACATGGTCATCAGCTGGGAGGAAGTACATTCGGCAGCGGGGGCAAGTGCATCCACAGCCCTTCCGTATCTGTCATAACTAGGCAACGGCTATCTAGTTGTTCTTCATGACATTGTCGTAGTCCCCTGATTCAGTTGTGCTATCGCACCAATAGTAAGTTCAATCGGCAAAAATGTCAACTTCCTCGTCGTCGTCCTCGCCTTCGCCTTCATAATCGCTGTCTAAAAGTGCGGCGATTAACGCCGCATCGTGCTCATTCAACTTCGGGACTGCAATAGCACTTGACTGCTTCCTCCGATCATTCGGAGGTCCACCGTGTACCGGCAGGCTCGCATAGCCCACGATGGTACCGGTGAAGCGCTCGTCGTGGCGGAAGCCGCGCCACTTGGCATAGCAACGTTGCTGTTGGTGTCAGTATACCGAATTCATAGTAGTGGTGTGTCTAGAACTTACAGCTGGAGTCATCCAGGAAAGCGCCTCGTCGTCGTCTTCAAGCGCAGCAGGATCGCAGTAACGCATCTTGAGCGTCTGCTCGCAAGCGAAGACATACTTGGCGCGGAACATGTCTCTCGCAGCCTGTAGCTTGGCCTTGACGTCTTCAGTACCCAATCCGAGATTGTAGATCTTATCCCAAGTGATACTCTTGCCGACGTCTCCCCACATCGCAGCCACCATACGTTCCGGGTCCTTGTCAAAGTCGCCCTGCCAAAGAGCTTCGAGCTCAACCGGGGTGAGGTCTTCGACGGCCTTGTCAGCATTCGCAGCCTGCTCCTTCCACTCGCATATGACCATGGCTACCCTAGGATAGATGAAGTCGCTCATGACCTCGGCCTGGAACTCCGACTGATAGTCCCTCGTCCGCTTTCTAGCGCGAGCAAACTCATCGGACGACTTATCGCTGATACCACAACCAGAGAGCAGAGCAATGGCGTCATCATCTGCGAGCTCATGCTTCAAGATGTAGACAATCTTGGCGGCAGGCTTCAAGGACGAGCTCAGCATCATCGGGTCCTTGGGCGGCGGCGAGGTACCAAGGAATGGCTTCAGCCAATCGGCTTCGCTTGCCCAGTCGATGCTGTTTGGCTGGAAGCTGCCGTAGCTGCTTCGTGTCTTCGCGTAGTTGCCGGCGACACGGCCGCGGTTTCGCACGATGGTCTTGGTGACTTTTCCGTTGTCGATTTGATCGGAGGCCTCACCTTGCGAGGCGGCAGTGGCGGGCGCGTGGCGAGCTCGGACGAGCTTTGCTGCTTCGAGGATACTGTGTGCGACCATGTTGATGCGACGGGCGAGGTGGTGACAGTGTTATCAAGCGATGTGTGAGAAGAAAGAGGAAGGGTAGTTGCAGGTCGGAGTCGATACTTTATACTACCTAGCGCAGTGGGGTTTTCGATACTGTGTTCAAGGTGAGAGCGAACTCGCGGTGACGCTTTTTTCCCTGCCTTCACCTCGCCCTACAGCGACTGGTCGCCGCCGCGTTGACCGCAATTTGCTCTTACATTGTTCGGCGAGGGCTCTTTTTCTTCTGTGAGCCGCGTTGCATGCCTGCACTCTTCCTCCTCGGCGTTTGGGTAGCCGCATCCTGGGGTAGAGGCTCACACATCTGCTCGAGAGAAGCAAACATCTCAGGCTTGAGGACCCACTCCCCCGACTCTTCCTCCTGCACATAAGGTTCTTGCAGGATCCACTCCCGCCACTTCTTCATAACCTTGACTACATGCGCTTGACTGGCTTCAAACCATTCATCGTGCAGCCTACCGCAGCCTTCACACTGTCTTCGCAGTCTACACTCCTTCAGCTCAGTGTGTATGAGCTGCTCGACGCGGTGAACATGCGGCATCACCACCTGACTCTCCATACGGGAGTGATAGTCGTGCTTGCGCTTGCACTTTGTGTTCCAGCCTTTGAGCCGCGCAGCCAGATCGTTGGTGTACCCGATCTTGACGATGCCGAAATACGCCTTGTCCCAGAAGAGGTAAACATGACCAGGAGTCAGGTCTTTGGCACCCAATGGAGAAGCGGCTCTTTCGTAAAGTGCAGAGAACACGGAGAGCTCCCGGACTTTCTTTGGTTGATAAGGTGTGAAGCCCGATGAGCATGAGAAAGAGAAGCGGACAGTTGACTCAGTGGTTGACACTCTGAACTTGGGCTTTGTTGCCCGCTTGACTTGTGTAGCTGGCTTAAATGTTATGACAGTGGTCGTGGGTCGCGCAGCATGATTTGTAGATGCTTCAAGGTGACTGATCGTGTTGACCCATCGCGTAAAAGTCGATTGATCTTGTTTCGTCATGTGTACCCTGCCTTCAAGCTTGTTGCGCAGTTGCGATATCCTGGATCCACCCTCAATCTCGTTCAACGCCGTGCCCTGATGCGTCTTGCACATGACTGACTGTACGATCGTCTTGACACGGCGTAGCATACGGCGGTAGTCTTCTTGTCTCTTAAACTTCGCTATATCCTTCACAGCGCTAACAACATCACGACGCGATTCCTGAGGCTTTGCCATGTGACTGCATCGTTGAGAGGGGCTCTTTACGAGGGACGCGGGGCAGTAGCCCGGAGCGCTGGCCAGCCTTGCATGAAGATCGTGTGGGACGAGTTGTTCTAGTCGCTTCGAGAACTTGCTGTCCAAAGGCGGATGGATGCGACCTTGGGGAGATGTAACGATGGTTGTCTCTTCACGAACAGCGGTACGTAGAGATGAAGCGACTGTTGTGGTGGCGGCTGTCTTGGAACGTGTTCGTGTACTGACACTGGTATCCTGCGTGAAAACGAACGTGGGGTTGCTGCTGTATTTGACGGTAGCAGCTGCGACGCTTGCCTTGGAGACTGTGATGCGCAAGTCAGATGTGATCGCTATCAGCTTCATGATGTCTCGACGTACTCTCTTCAAGCACCAAGGTGACGCCTCGGAACAACTTCGGTTGGAAAGGGTCATCCTGTGCCGCTGTCTCTTTTTCCTGGAAGAAGGGCTGCGGAATCGCTGGAGTCACTCCAACGCCGAAAATAGGCTTGGAGATTGGGGTGAAAAGCAGCTTTTTAGAAGAATCAGGGGGTGTTGGAGGCGTGAAAGGCGTCAGGATACTTCGTGGAGAAGCGCTGGTCGTCCGCTTAGTGGGCGTCTCGGGTAAATCCCACATGTCGTTGAACCCTGCCGGAGACGACGTGGTCGATACTGTCGATGCTGGTGACACCCAGGAGATCTTGTTAGGGTCTAGTACGGATAGCACACCGCGGCTACTCTTCTCTGAGACCGGTGTGGGTAGGAACGTAGCGCAGGGCTTCTGGGCTGTATCATACCCAGACTTGGGTGTCGGCAGACCGCCTGGTTGGATGCTAAGATCTTCAGTAGCGAATGTCATGATGATAGCTCTGAGAAGACACTGGGTGGCGTGATCGATGGGAAAATGCAAGAATTAATAGATGAAGTGGGTGAGATGGATGGGTCGTTTGGTGCCAGCAGAAGCTGAGTCCATGCCAGTATATATCCTCAGCCTCGCGGAGCCAAGTGTATTGCCTGAGACCACCACACCTACCCATCTCGCTGAAACCTTTGGTGTACTGCGATGTCAGCCTCAGTCGTTGCAGTAACATGATACGAGAAGCGCATGGGCTGCGGCAACGTCCATCCGCGTAGATATATTACCATGATGGGCAGGTGTATTCGCCTCGCAAACGTCCATGAATGACTCGAGGACAAGATGGATTCGCAACCATGTGGCTTGTGAGTTTTGGATCTTTGGTGGCTGCATGACCCGTGCCGCAGAGCCGCAGGTGGTTGTCTTGCTCAGCCTACCACAACCACAGGGTATGAGAGCTCATCGTTAACGACGCTCCGATGAGACTGTATCTAGAAGTCAGTCTCTTCCGCGATGAGATTAGCTGTTGAAAGCAGATTTGGCGCCGGTGATCGAAAGACCGGAAAACGGATCAAGGACCTCGAATTGCATCCTCTCGCAATAATCTGGGTAGCATTTTGGCCCCAATCAGGAACAAAGCTTCGAAACCTCTCGTGTAATATGTCGTTGAGAGAACTGTAATAATACCAGTATGCACGCGCCATCTTAAGCTCGAATCGTGTTGCAGGCATTCCTACCATTTGCCGTCTTTCGACCAAGACGTGGGGTTTGAAACAAACGTCGTGATCTTGCCGTGGACCGTGCTGGAAAGCGCGCCGTCGGCGAGCCTCACACTGGCGATACACATCGAGATAATGCAGATTGAGCGGCACACGAAGCATCGGTAGGAATGCTGACAATTATTTTGAAACAAGAATGCATACAAGGAGGTTTGTATGTCGCGTTGGGGGAAAGCGAAGGCGAAGGCAATGGAGGTTTGTTGTTTTCGGGGACGCGTCGTTGGCGCGTGCGGGCCGCCACGTGGGACGGCAACCGCCGCGGATCGGCTCTCTGCAGCCGAAACCCTTCCTAGGTAGTCACCGCGCGCATCATGAGTGTCGACGCGACAATTACGACAGTACTAATGCTCGCGAGGACCAGCTGTACTCTTGATTCAAACAAGACGAATCAACGATAAGTTTCGCACATGGTGTATGTCTTGAGCAGTCCACGCGAGCCCAATCCTTCTCCAACATTCCTCTCCCGCAGTCTGCGGAGCAGGCACGATAACCAGAAGATACGTCATGTGCCTAGAAGTATCGAAAGCCTCATACAACATGTCCCTTCCCATTCTTTCTCTGAGGAGTATTGCAGCGCCTGATCTTGGACCGCTAGATGGTTCGTCAGAAGCATCCAGGATCCCACTGGCTAAGCTCTCGCGGCCATTGCTGTCAAGTATCATACACCGCCTTGAGCCCGACTGACTTTGAATAGATACAGAATACCACTCGCATTTGATCGTGAGCACGTAAGTTAGACCAACGGTGTCCTTTGGTGCTGGATCGGTCCCTTCCATCTGGATGAACTGAAAGGATGCATCCCTCATATTACCCAGCGCTTTGAACCGAACCGCAAAATCTGTAGATATCCAGCTCCAGGAAGGCTTTGAGAAAGTACCATTGTCCGACCCAAGATCCTGTTGCTGACTGTCTTGCTCAATTGGGCAATACCACAGAAGCTCATATCCCAAGTTCTCAATCCACATACCCGCCGTATAGGTGTAGCCAGTATTCCTCTGAAACATGCTTGCAAGACCTGACAAGGCGGGTAGCTTGTCTGAGCGGTAGGTGAGTCGGCAGCGCGAATACTCCGACACGATGATTTGCCAGTCTGACGGTGGTGAAACTGGGAACGAGGGGTTGTCGTCGAGTGGCCTGACGAGCGGGTCTCTTACCTGGGGGCATTCGAAGCTTTCGTAGCGATATGGAGTGGCTTTACGCAGGACTATCCGGTGATTCCCCTCCCGCGCTGTGTGAGCGAGACACTCCCAAAACATCTCACCGTCGCTGTAGTACAACAGCCTTGGCGACAAAAGACGCTCTTGAAGTGCCCATGCCCTCTTGCAGAGTGGCGCAGTCTGGAATACACTTTCCCTCGTTCTTTCATGATAGTTGGAGTTGTTGGAGTTGATGATACCATGCGCCGCCGCTGATGTACCGTCGCGCGGAACCAGCATACCGTGATGGCAGTTCGGGGAACTGAGAGCATACAGCGTTAAATACGAGTGTCGGTAGATGCCGCCCATTCTTGCCGCTTCTTTCGACCAGTCATCTTTGCAGTCCTGGAGTATACACAGGCTATCTATCCAAAGGTACTGTATGCCTAGCCTCCGAGTCACTTCTACTGCATCACGGTACAGCTCAGGAAAAGACTCTATCGGTATACCCCGGCAATGTTCTTCGAGTGTGCTGGTAGTCGTGATAAGAGGTTGCTCACCTCCCCAACAATGACTCAACGTCATATACGAGGCTTTGCGACCATCGGAGATATATAGGAAAGGCGTTCCTGTGTGGACGTCAAGTACCCGCGTTGGCAGTGGTGTCTGATCACCTTGGTAACAACTGTGGTTCATGTCGCACTTTCCGACCCATTCTTTGACCAAATCAAAGCTAGCTTCCGAAGAGGGATCAGGCGCGATCTCACGAGCATGCTGTCCGTAAATGTATGCGATGTAGCCTGATGTGAGATGTTAGCGTTGATTGGATGCTGGTCCGATTTTTTTGTCGTACTCTTGCCCCTCAGATGATCCAGAAACCCGTCTCCGGTTTCTGTCCGCTCAGCAAACCATAACAACAGAGAGTGTGAAGGCAGCTGCTCAGGCCGATCAAGCGCAGGAGGATTTTCGCGATCGGCTTCAGACTGTGAAATTCCCATGCGTATTGAACGGCAAAGCCAGCAGCCTTCGGTAGCTGAAGCCTCCAGTCCTGTTAGACAGTCAAAGTGACGCACTCTTGATCTTTTCCGCCAAGATCTTAGGGCCGTACACTTCTCGCAGAGAACCAACCCGATGATGGGCCTGATATATCCAAAGCCGTCTCGTAATCTGGCTTGAAGTAGTTGTGAAGGACTTGATAGAGCTTTCCACCGAGCACGTGTATTGCGTAGCAGCATGCATATTGGAAAAGTATAACCCCTACCTGAACTGCCAAGATCACTGCCAAGGCGCTGCGTAGGTTTTTGAACACATCCATGTTCATGGCAAGAAAATATTGAACTAGCACAATCGAGTTCGATACTGATAATGATGTGTTTGTTGTGCTTAGCTGATGTAGTTGCGAAAGTGCGAACATATCTGTTGGTCGCTCCGCCCGTCAGCCGCACTCCGCTAGGCTGGAAGTGGTTTAGCTCATCATCCGATATTCTAAGCCAAGGGCTGCTGCGGCTGCGCCTCGCTCGCCCAAAAAGCCACCGGGCCAACGCGTGTTAGGTGAAGTCCATCCGGCAGTCATCACTAGGTATCCTGATCAATGCCTTCAGCTCAAATCATCTTCAAACCGAAGTGTGAAGAATTCCTCTTGCAGCCGCGTAGCCGCGCCACATCCACACATCTCCCACAAACCCAAGCCATCTGTAGCCCTTTCAGAACCTGCGGCTTTTCACAGGCACTTCGGTTGTCTTATTGAAGTTGATGGCACTCATCTCTACCGAGGTGGTCCAGCATGTCCGCAACCTCGGAATACCATGGCGGCACTACCTACGCATTCAGATCTTTATGGTCGTAATGTTCACCGCAATCTTCTTCTTCATCTCCGGTAGGAAGCCCCGCTGAGGGTATCATAGCCAACTTGCCGAGTTGTATTAACACCAAGCAGTCCCAGAACAGCATATATCTCTTGACAAAAGGAGCTGGGGTGGATGGGACGAGCGCGCAAACTCGGAGCGATGCTACAAGCAGGAACGTACAGCGACGCTGCTAGCGTTCTGGCTCGGGGTGCTTGGTATGGACCAATGGTATGCGCGTCACTGGATTCTGGCTGTCTTCAAGATGGTTACTCTAGGTGGCCTTGGTGTTTGGGCGCTTGTCGATATCAACTTATGGATCGTTGGCGGATACTATGGTACCCCAGGATGTCCAGGTGGTAGCAAGAAAGGATGGGCCTACTGAGCGATGGCGTGCAGGATGTATCGTAGTACTTCGCTGCGAGAAATTGAAGTCTACTTGACCGGGCACCCAAGTAGGTAGCCATCTAGGATTTGAGTCTGTCTACTTGTTAACTTTGTCGACGTTCACTCCCTGGTAGCGCGATGCTTTCCAATGGTGTCTGGACGTGAGGACAAAGTCGAGGGCGAAGTTGATGGGCTTCAGTGGAGGCGCGTGCGCCGAAAGCGGGGCCGCGAATGAGCTATGACGACTGCTGACCCCTAAATCGCGACGCTGAGTTGCCTAGCACCTTCCGGCCTCTCCAAATACATGATTACGAAAGACTTTATCGCTGCATCGTGGGCAAGTATCCCAAAAGTGATTTGCGGTATGTTTGCTTCTGAGTTGGCTTGCAGAAACGGACCGCAAAGTTACGTAACTCAGGCAGCCGCTAACGTACGCAGCGTGTCAGAGGCTACCTAGGTTCCTATGCTCCCCTTTACTTCTAACACTAGTAAACGGCACTCGTAAGACAAAGATCGGACTATGCAACGTCTATTCGCAACTTGATTTAGACGATAAATCTTCCGAAACGACGAGTTTCGATGGTCATGACGAGCCCATCGTTGGTCTCATGGTACAAGCAGGTGCCATGGACCTGATATCACTCTCCAGAATCTAGAATCGCTTCAACTACTCCATACGCCTCCTTCACCACGGCCCTAGTTTCTTCGTCCAACCTATCTTCATCGTTGCTCAAATCCCACAGCCTCTTCTCCCATAATCCCCACCGCTCTGGAGTCAATCCATCTTGACTCGGCCACAGCTCTGTCTCGTCATCCAGTGGCACCGCAAAGTGCTCTCGTAGCTCCTCGTGATCAGTATTCCAGAGCGCCCAGCCTCCGTCCCGTAGCCATATTGCCGCGACCCGAATATCCAGCGCCCGTACCTGCTCGAGCGGTATGCTGTGCAAGTTCGAGTCAAGCTGCGGAGGTGCGTCGTGTACTCGTTCGAGTGCGTATCGACACGCGTAAAACACCGTCATAGGATAGCCCACACCTGTCTGTCGGCCATGTTTCATCAGTGCCGCTGAGAAGATGCACACGCGGAGGTATAGCTGGTCGGGTCTAATCCTCATCGTGCTGCCAAATGGATCTTCTTCGGTGCCTGGATCGCGTATACCATTCCAGTTGCGTCGTCCTAGGAGGATAGAATGCGCATCTCCCCAGTACATATCAAAGCCAGGTAACTCCGACCAGTGTAGTTGACCATCGTGTTTAGCTTCCCGGCACAACCGTAGTACTTTGGGCTTCGAGGGCGGTTGTACGCGAATTGCGTCCAGGAGAGCGATGTGAGAGTCGTATGGTGGCGGACAAGACGTGACGGCAATGAAGAAGGCGTCCCAGAGCTCCCATGTTGCTTGATCGGCATCGTGGCTTGCGGCGATAGCGTCGATGATTTTTTCCACCGAATAACCGAAGAGCAAAGGGTAGCCTCTCGATATCAGAGCGTTTTGGACGAGCGAGAAGAAGCGGTTTGGCGGGGTGGAGCCAGGAATGTCGAGGATGCTCGTCATTCTGGCCGGAGTGCAATCTGCAGGCTGAATGAATAGAAATTCGCGATGCTGGGTGTCTTATCCCTTCTAATGTCGGCCTTGAAGCGATTGCTTTAATGCGAAAAAGGCATCAGGCGATAGTTTCGTGTATCATAGCATTTCCAAGGTCGGACCCACAGGCAACTGCAGGCACGTGACTCGCTGGACCATGGTTGAGCTGTCCGATACCGCTTCGATGCGGAAGGTGGCGGGTAGAGAGTAAAATTTCGAAATTCCAGAGAAGCTCACAAGGAAGTCGCGAAGGCTGACAGTCGATGGAATACCTAGGTACCTACTGGTTCGTCTGCGAGTGCTTACTACGCCCGATCACTCCAGTGCTGTCTTAGCGGGTTGCCCGTACCCCACGCGTGTCGTAACCTCTGAGGTCATGTCAATACCGCGACATAACACCTGAATTTCCTCCACATACCGAACGGGGCTAAGGTATGGCTGTTGTGCACATAATGAAGACTGGAGTCCTTCCTCGTCAAAGCCAAGAATCTTGGACTGACACAAAAGCCTATCGAAGGATAATACTAAGGTACATGGGGACGTAAATATGGGCTCTCATATTGGATTATGCAATCCAGAGCAAGTCAGATCTTCATGGGTGTCAGACGATGGTCACATTCTTGTACGCCCGTTGCCCGGCTTCACAAAGCAACCACTCAACCATCGACAGCATCAAGCACCTCATCGATTACAGTTCCCACCAACAGTCTTTCGAGCAAGCTAATATGCTCACATCAGACGAAATCACGGTGTTCTCCGTCAAATTGTCGACCAACGCATGTATAAAGAGCAGCGCAATCTTCCTTTTCATGGAGCACACAACCACCAAGTACAGCTACAACAGTTCTTCACCCCACACTCATACTATCAATCATGCAGTTCCAATCCCTTCTACTCACCATTCTTGTCACTTTGAGTGCCGCCGCTCCGGTCGCAGAGCCTCAGCGCGGTGTCCCTCACGGCAGTCTTGGTCTAGCCATCCGAGACGCAGAGCCTCAAGTCGTCATTCCTGGCGGCGACTGCCGTCTAGCTGTCCGAGACGCTGATCCCCAGAAACGTTTTGGTGGAGGGCGCGATCTAACCGCTCGAGACGCCGATCCCAAAGAACGGTTCCGTGGAGGCGGCGGTCTGTCTACCCGAGATGCTGAGCCTGGAAGGGTAACCAAAGGTGGGCACAATGGTAAACGCGTAGTTGCAGAGAGAGCTCCTGTTCCGTTTGGAATCGTTGAGCCCCGCGGAGTCCGTGGACCAGGTGGACACAATGGTAAACGCGTAGTTGCAGAGAGAGCTCCCGTTCCTATCGCGATCACCGAAGCTCGCGGAGTTCGTGGGCCAGGCGGTGGCATTCCCTAGATTCGCAATGTCGCCTTTCCAGTAAGTGATACCTAAGGCATAGCTGACTTATGTGTTCTGGGAAAGGCTAACGATTCCTAGGTTTGAAGGGAGAGCCTCAATGGGAGGAAGGCAGCTGGAACCGGCATATGTCAGCTGAGAACAATTGAGAGGTTGGTGATACGGTATCCGATTAGTGTGTTGGGGGAGATTGGTATCATTGTATGGGGCGAGTACACTGTCGCTACAATAAATCGTTCACGCTGTTACTCATCAGTAGCTTGAAGAGAAAATAATTCGATATGCGTATCGCACTAGATCTGCAGTGTGCGGCCATGTGATGTTCTGATATGTCAAAATGACTCTTGAGCTCGTGCGGATCGCTTGTATACAGTCCGATCAGATACATATGGCCACACCATAACGCGGTGGAAGCTGCCTGAATTGATGCAGCTTTATCAGAGGTGTATATCAGATTCTGTGGGGACTCATCACACAGTGTAGTAGACTCGACACAAGCTACACATCAACTTTAGCTGCTCTTTCCTTCTCAGCCTCCTCCAACTCCACCGTCCACAAGTGATACTTCGATCTCGCTCTAATCCTCGGGCCGAACCGATAAAATAGCCACGGCACTGGGGCCACTACCAAAGCGACGAATCCCAGCGTACTGCTAGCCCACGGCGTCCCCATCTTAACGTACATCTGCCGCGCAAACAGCGGGAAACCAGCCGTAAACAAAGACCGCATCACTGCATTGGCAGCTAGCGCGCTTGCGGAGAAACGCCCATAGCAGTCCGTCAAATATGCATTAGTACCCAGGAACAGCGTGACAAAGCCAATACCGAAGGGTATGCCAGAGAGAATGCATACGATCCAATGCGTCGGCGGGTTCGCCGTCCATCCGAACCAGAAAAGTGCCACGGGAATGAACCACGCTATGATGACGAGATGAGGGAGTCGCGCTTCTGGCTTTGGTCCTCCAAGCTTCTTGACCCATATGCCGTGGATGTCGTTAATCCATGGTGAGCTCGCTGTTGCAATCGCCATGCCGAGTCCGATGCCCAGGAAGGATAGACCTGCAATGCCTTCACTCCAATGACGTGTCTGCCGGAACACTACTGGGTAGGCGGTGAAGTCGAGGTATAGTATACCCCAGACGAATGCGGAGTAGAGTCCCAGGACGAATAGGATGGGCTCTGTGAAGAGCATGAGCCAGGGTCGGGTCAGGTTGGTAGAGTATTGCTCCTTGAAGGATTGGCGTGGGGGCTTCATGCCTGCTTGTGCCATTTTACGTTCTAGCAACGTTGTCGTGTATGTCTCGGGAAGGAAGAAGAGCATAGCGGTATACACGATCGCGGCAATGATGATCACGACCCAATAGAGCCATCTCCAGTCCAGGTGCTGCGAGATGAAACCTCCTGCCACCGGCCCTAGGACTGGACCGAGGGAACTGCCCGTCGTGAACAGTGCGAATGGCACCGAACGATGGCTGTGGGGCCAGATGTCTGCTAAGCATCCGCCGCTGTTGGTCACAACGGGTGATCCAAAGAAACCACTGAAGAATCGAAATGTCAGAAGAGCGGCAAGATTAGGCGATAGCGCACAGCCGATGTTGAAGCAGAAGAAGAGAAACATGGTAATGCGGAAAACGATCTCTCTTCCCAGTGCTTCTGAGAGCGGTGCGAATAACATTGGGCCCGAGGCAAATCCGACCAGGAATGTCGTTACTCCTAATGTTGCGACGGTCGGGGAACATGCGAATGTTTCGGTGACTCCAGGGATTGCCGCGGCGTGAACACTAGAGCAGAAGGTGATGTTCGCCGTCATGAAGACGATGACCATCGTCGCCGTCCATTTCTTTCGGGCGGGCCAGTTGTGCGGGTGTTCTTCAGGGTCGAGTTTGATGTGGGAGCAGTCATCTTGCACGGTTTGATCGTTGAGCATTGTCTTCTCAGCTGGTACGCAACTGACAGGGTGAAAGCTGAGGCTTTGAGGGTCTTGACTAATTGTGGCGTCTTGCTGCATTGTGGACGACGAAGAATGATGAAAACCACAATGAGTGCGATATGATAGAGCTGAACGTGGCTACACTCTGGCCTGGCTTCATTTATGGGCCCAGACCATGAGAGAAGCGTTCATGGGGGTTGGCGGAGCTGTCAGCGTCTACCAGTCGAAACGTTCGCTGATGTGCCAAGTTCAGTATGCCGTGAGTCATATCGACCGTGGCTTTGGTGGCTTTCATCTTGTATGGCGTATGACTGGTGGACATGGCAAGGATACTCAGAAAGATACCAAAGCTTTGCATGTCGTGATGCGCTCAACCGAACTGTAGGCGAACGCGTAGGATTTTGGTCGGGCGGCATCAAACGGTGACGGGACGATTCGCTTCGATCTAAGGCTTCCCGCAAATGATTCGCGGTTCGAACTGGCAATGGATCGGGAAGGTGGTTTCCGGGTGGTTTCGCATGTCCAGACTGAGAAAGGATGCAGTGCGGTATTGGGTGTCTATGCGCAGAAACGGTACCCGCGTCGTATTACACCTGGGCAGGCACCAATGACGGGCGCTAAATCGACCCCGTGGGGTGTCTGGTGAGAGAAGCATGCGGAGCAAAACAGAAGACGAACGTAACGGTGATGGGGCAGTAACGTTCTCATTCCAACGTGGATTAGCTTCTGTTCCATATCCTGGGGATCCAGTGCGCCCTTACTGTGCCTCAAGCAATCGCCAAGGGCTGATTCTAGAACGGCCGTTGGCTAAGCGATCTGTACGAGACCAAATGCGTACATGAACATTGGTGGAAAATCTTTTGTGTCAAGGTTGTCAACGACGCCCTGCGACGGTGATGACAGCCTCGTCTGATCCTTCGTTGACATGATGACAAGAAAGGCGCAGGGCGTAAAGTCGAACAGCCAACCGATGTGGAAGGCCGCGTCTAACGATGCAGTTATAATCAACCGTTTCATCGCTGCTAGAGACGCGGTGAAGCATCCTCGAGTTCATACTGCGATCGCCTAGATGTTCCGCTCCGAGTAGTGGGTAGAGGTCGCAGTGGTTCTGCATCCGATGAAGAACCAAGTCTCGTCGGCTTCTCTCTATGAAATGCCGTGCTCAGCTTCAAACGGCTCCACACCGCACTGCTTATTCGGGCTGTCCAGGTCGCAGTAGGAGGAGTGGCGACGCGATCATCACCGGGCTCATTGACTGGGGGCGTTGACCCTCTTCCCGATTCCGGCACAATATAGCCGTAGCCCTCTTCATGACCGATGAACCAGCGGAGTTCATAGTTTTTGCCTTCGGGTCCATCTCCGCAGCTTCTTGCAAGCACTTGGGTAGGCGGCGAGTTCACAGCGAGTGCGAACAGATGCGCTGGTTGGGTGAAATCGGTCACAAAGCCCGGGTGCATAATGAAATAGCATAACACGGAAGCGTTGATGAAGAAAGTGGAGATGAGAACTACCAGCCAGCCTTTTGATGCGTTGTCGGCTCCACCGGAGGCATATTCTTGAGACTTGATCTTTGCCTTGTACCATTGCGTTGCTGGCTCGTCAAGTACTGAACTAGTATAATTCTTGAAGTTGTTAGTGCCGAGTCCTATAAGTCTAAAGCACGATGGAGATCCATCTCTGTCAAAGACTTACCCAGTGGTCCACAAACGGGGAATTGTGCAAAGAGCCAAGTATAGTGTCAGCAGCCATGACAGCCAACGTTTCAGCTAAGCTTGGAAGACGTGGGTTGAGCGAGACCTGGAAGCTCCCAGGATTGGGATTTTTGGGTTCTAGGGCTAGCGTCATCAAGACTTGCTGGAGGTAGGTGATGCCCGTTCCAAGAGAAAGACTGTTGGCCCACCTGACACCAACATCTCCCCAGCTCTTGACACCCCGGATCGTCGTAGCATTTGCATTAGTTTCAGAGTACGCCATGTTGCTTGCTCGATCGTCACACAAAGCTTTGACCAAGGTCCCAGAGACCAACACACTGTGGAGTGTGCTACAACGGGGTGTTATGTCAACCTCGAGCTTGCAAAGCGGGTATGCACCGGTCAGATTTCCTTCTCCAGATTGTGCTGGGCCACCCTGCCCCAGGATGTATATGGCGGCTCTCCCCCAAGCCCAACCCGTGAGGTTAAGAACTGTGCTGAACGGTATTGGTCATCGACCACTGTCTTATTCACGGTTGTTGCATTGTCGCGTTCTCCTGGAAGATCGAGCCACGTAGTAGAGTTGACTATCCTACTGTTTGGCCAAGCATCGTAAATGATAGGCTCGAGTTCCGTTCGGTTCATATGAACACATAGAACTTTCATCACAGGTGAGGGCACCGATGCCCATAGTGAGTATGGCTGGATAGAGTCCGAAGTGTCGGATAGTGGCATAACATTCCTCTGATCGTATACGGAGCTGGAAACGCCAATATGAGGAAAAGCAAGCGAAACGTTATTGATGACTCGGTTGTATGTCCCTGAAACTTCAGCAGTCTCGATGACGTCGACCCATTGGGGAGCAACATATGTCCCGTTATAGGGTAACCCGATCCAGGTGGGTCGATGCTCTTGACGTGTTGACATGTTATGATCAGGTGTTACGATGCTGCGCCAGCGGCCAAGGAATTCTGCCAGGTTGGAAATACTCCTTCCGGTATTTTCGATATCCACACACGATCCGTACAAGGGGTATAATGGAGTCTGACAGATGCGTCCAATGTGAGTGGCGTGAACAAATTCGCCCCTGACCGAACCCATCATGACCTTGTCATGCCAATCGCTTTGCTTGGCGACAGGTTGAACAAGAGTAGTTGCAGCTGTCATATAGACCGTAGACAGAATAGTACTAAGCAATGTAAGAACTCCGAGAGCAGAGAGCCCAGCGTACCGACCGATCTCGAATGATGTGATCATGGACCCGGGTTGTACTACCCAGCGCCACAGGGTTAGTTCTGAAAGCGATGCACCTTGGCTCCTACTCGCTATGATGGCTTTTCGGCTCACAACCTGGCCTAATAAAGTAACGACACAGGTGGCGAACGATAGCTCGATTGTTTTCGCGATGATCGAGGTCCAGAGTATAGCCGCGGAGATGTTCAGCTTCGCTTCCGGACTGTTCCCAATGTAACCTCCATAGCGTTGGCCCTTTAGCGCCAATGCAACAAATATACCTGACAGCACTGTTGACACGCTGCATGTGAAGATGATGGCACCGCTGAACCATGTGAAACGAGGACTACCGAAGTCACGTCGCGTTGGGCAGTCATTGCCGGGAGGCAAGTCGTCCTTCGTGCTCAAGGGTGAATCTTCTGACGCGCCGAGGGTGGCATCGGTCTCTTCGTCTACTGGGTATATGTGGGAGAACGCGTGGAGTCGCGCGGCTTGCGAATCGTTGTGCCGTGTGCCTTCGACGTCATCGATGGTCGTAACTGTCGGAGTGTATCCTCGGATTTGTGCGTATCTGAACGTGTCTTCGGCTGCTACGTTGGTGGTTGGCAGCGTGTTCCTCGCGGGTGATACGCCTCTCGCGACCTTGGCATCGTGGCTATTGACTGGGTCGGTCACCCTAGCATGACGGCGCCGTGTGTCAGGACAGTAATCAGGTAATTGTTTGCGTGATGCTTCGAAAGGGAGGATATGATCCTCCGACCCTGATGCAGGTGCTGCGACATGTGTGCCGTGGTAATGGAGAGAGCGTCGCGTTCCCTTGGCGTTCGTCATCGCGAAGGAGCTGGCACGCTAATGATCTTCGGTTAGCGCAAGCAGCTAGCGAGGAAGGGTTCCTTGAGCCGTCGACGGTCGTATTCGCCGTGCTCCAAGAACCATTGAGTCTGGTCTAGCAGACTCAGAAAAGAGGAGTTTGCGTCCTCTTCATCTGTTTTGGCTTGCGAGCGGTCTGTGGGACCGGAAAGTGGCAGGACGTACAGCCACCTCATCCTCTTTGTACTGTGCCGTACGCACGGCTACCGACAGCCTCATCGCGATCATGCGGTTTCGCAGTTGACTTACAGATGTAACCTTGCACAACCCTGCTCAGTTTGCCCTTGCGTGAGGCTGCGTAAGACGGCAGCCAACAGATAATCGGCTCATCGACAAGCAAGGCGCAAGGTGTAGCTTGCGAAACGCGAAATGTGGAAGGAAGGAGTAGATCTGATCAGGCAACAATCCACCTACAAGCCAACGTATCGAGAGAAGTTCTAATAGATTCAGCATTCTACGTGCATCGTGTTACGCTTGATATAAACGCACTTTTATTACCCTGCTTGTAGAGCTATTTAGGTTAAACAACATAAGATAGAAGCAGACCTATTAATTAGTAGACTAAACTATTATTAAGTAGAAATCTAAATCTTAAGTAGTAATACTTATAGCTTAAAGAGCTACTAATTCTAAAGAAGTAAGAACTATTACTAGTACTCTAAAAAATATATAACTAAATCTTTTACTTACTTTTAAAAGTATAGCGTTAAACTAAAGCTTAGAGCTTTAGTGCTACTACTTTTAAAGTAGTTAAAGCTTCTAAATTTTTTAAGCTAGCTAAAAAGCTATTTTAATACTAAAGTACTTTATAAAAGAATTTTAACTCTAAATACTTTAAGAAAATTATAATATAATTATATATACTTATTAGCTTATAGCTAATAAAGTAATATATTTTAAAGCTTTATAGTTAGAATATATATACTAAAATTTTAGTAAAAGTACGCTTTTTTTATTTTTAATACTTATATAATAATAATATTTAGAACTCTAAAGATTAATTTAATACTAAATACTACATTACTACGCTACTATATTAAATAATTTATAAGTCTTTTTAGCGTTTATAAGAATAAAACTAATCTCTTACTAGTTATATTACTTTACTACTTTACTAATACTCTACTAAATTATTTTCTTATTCTTTAATTACTTTTTTTTAAATTATATTACTATTATAAATCTACTATAAGCTACTTTATA